AAAAAGCAAGGCTTTTGAGTATTCTTTTTAGTAAAACAATTAAAAGCTCTGTGTCCATCCTGCCCACCCCTGGCGGGTCCTCTTGCTACGGTCACAGTGGTAGGTAGACCCTGCACAGGGCCCTCACGCCGTCACCGGAGCCCCACAGGCTCTCAGGAGTGTGGCAAGCGCCAAGGACTTCTCAGGCCACTCTGCCAGGTCCTGAGGCCCACAGGTTCATGCTCCAGATTACGCTGCATCAGAAAAGATGAAGCCATACAGCCACGCCAGGGGAGGGCCTTGTAGCCCAGGCGCCCAAAGTCGCTGGCACAGAGCCACCTGGCTTCCAGCTCAGCGCTGGTCCTGAGCGTTTGCTCGCCCAGAAAGGCCCAGACCACACTTGCCTGCATCAGGGCTCATGATGCCCTGGCAAGCGCTGGGGATTTCTCAGAGTGATGGGCGCAATATCCCAGATCCTGGGGAGCGTGGGGCGAGGGTCTGGGACGGGCCGTGGGGGATGGGCTTTAGGGCTTTACTCCCCAGCATATCCAAGTTATGTGCATTTAACCGTGCAAGTATTTCCTTATAAGGAGAAAGCACTACGCAACGCAAGACATTCAAACAATAGCTCAGAATGTCAGCTACGCTTGGTGAACAGGACTTCTATAAACAACTCGTTTATAAAAGTTGTAGTTTACAAGGAAAGTTAAAGTTTATGCCGGAACACAAAAACATCTGGAAGACTATCTTGTGGAAAGTGAACGTGAAGGTGGTGATATTCCTGTGACAATGCTTTCTTTCCATTTTCCTGTCAATGTGTTTATTCCAGTTCTACAAGCAAATCAGAGGATAACACAGAGGAGGATGGTTACATGACTTCTTGCAGAGCTCACCAGGACTTGCTTCTATGCCTGGCTGTGTTACCTTAGGGACAGGGCCCGGGTCCTACCTGGTCCTTGTCTCAACTGCAGCATGAGCTATAACCTGGACAAATCTCAGCGCCTTCCCAGGGCCCGGGGTTTTCCTCTGCAGTATGTGAAGCTGCACTGGATAAGCGGATCTCGAAAGGGGAAGGTTTTGCTGCCGGCCAAGGAGCTCTGGCGGTACTGCTGGGTGTCCCATCTGAGAAGGGGCGCTACTGCCATCTAGTGGTAGAGCCTAGAAATGATGCTCAGTTTGAAGGCACTATGGTCAAGAAGGGAATATTGGCCTGGTGGTACTGAGAGGTAGGTTGAGATAACGTGCCCTGGCTGGACTCGCGATCCCTTTCCTGATCTGACTAGAGCATGAATTGCTGAGTTTGAGTTTAGACTCTCCTCGCCTCCTGAAAGGAAAGCAATACTCTCAAATGCCAGACCGGGGTATTACTGTGCCCCTCTCCACTATATGAGAAGGGAAAAAAATAAGCAACAGGGCCAGAAGTGGAACGTGCACTAACATCATGAATGGGAAGCCCTCAGGAGAGGCAGCAGTGGCTATCCCTTCCCAGGGGCAGGCCCTCGGTACCCGTGTACAGCGCCCTCTGGTGTGTGGGTGTAAAACTACCACAGCTGATTTTACAAACCACACGCATAAACAGATACTTAACAAATACTGATCCATTTCAGGTTAAATTCAACACTTGAGAGCCCACACCATTTATGCATGTTTCATGAACAATCAACAGAGCACTAGTTCAACAGATGGAAAGAGATGGAGTTAGAATTCTCTCTCCCATTAAATATAATCATCAATTCCATGTATGTAATGGCATTATCTGCTTAGCCTCAAAAGGCTAACGTCTCAGACTTTTGGATGACAGTGCCGGCTCTCTGAACTAGCGCCCTGCCCAGCTAGGAGGAAAAACTCCCCAAGCAGATCTGTCTTCACCTGCAGGAACACAGTGTTCAGCAGGAAGCAGTGGCTTCCCCACGCAATTCAGGTGGCTGCCCCACGCAGCTCAACTTGTAGAACGCTGATTCCATAAAAAACCACGCAAGACACGCTGCACCTGCCAGCGCCCTCCTGTGCCCCACACCGCCGTATCTGTCAGCTCCAGACCCCTACTTTGAGACCCAAAATTGTGCACCCCCCTTGAGCAAGGCTCCCCTCCCCTACCTAAACTCTCCTAAAACACCTGCTCTCACCCCGTCTTGGGGCCAGTGGTCTTCTTGCCCTTGGCCTGGCTGCACCCAGTCTACAATAAGGTCCTCACACACTGCTTAAGCTCCGACTGCCCTGGTTTACCCTAACAGACATCTTCAGATATTTAGGGAAGAGTTGTAAGTCATAAGAGCCACAGAAAAAGAAGGAAGAAAATCCACACAAACCTTAAAAACTTCGGCTCTTCGAAAGATAAACTACATTAATCTATATGTGTATATAGATATAAACAACCCCCATTAAAAACCCAGATGAAAATAACTGAACGGCACATTGCAAAGGAGGCTGTCTTGGGGCCAGCGAGATAGCTTAGTGGACTAAAGTACCTGCTTAGACAAGCTGAGGCAAGGGCAGGGCCCGCGGTAGGTTCCCTGGCACCACATGTTGTACCAGCCTCCCACCCCATGGTGGGCTGAGCTGGCCACAGAGTCTGGGCATGGTGGCACATACCTATAATCCCAGTGCTGGGAGGCTGAGAACAGGAGGCTCATTATGAGTCTGAGCTGTGCAGTGAGACCCTGTAACACCAAATACATTAAGAGGCTTTCTGGATGGCCACCGCATGGTAATACCTCACAATCACCAGGGAAATTAAAACCAAAATGAGGTCTCGAGATACACCCCTAGAAGGACTTTGATTTTAAAAAGTGGACAGATTTGATTGTTCATGAAGACGTAAGGCTCATGCTGTGATCAAAGGGCCTGAAAACTCACACAACTGATTTTTAAAATTGCGTGGCAATATCAACTGAAGCTGAAGTACTATGTGTTTCCCTAAAATAGTGAGGCTGTAGACCCACCAACGCACAGGTACAAGAATATTCATCACCACCTCATCCTCATACTGCCTGTCTTGGTTACTTTTGCTGGGACATAATACCCAACATCCAAAATGAAGGAAGGAAAGATTTATTTAGCTCACAGTTTGTGGAGGTTTCAGTCCACACTCCGTTGTCTCCAAGGCAGAGTGGCACATGGCAGAGGGCAACAGTTCATGGCGGTGGAAAACAGCAGAACAGCAAGAGCAAGAAGGGAGGAGCAGTGGGGAGGCGGGCTCTTCCCCCCTTACATCACGTGCAGGCTTTGCTGCCCAGCGTGGGTGCAGCCCTCACACCCTTATCCTAGCACTGGACCGTGATCAATCATACGCTCTAGAAGTCAGCCCATGACTGCGTGAGGCACGGGGAGGACTCCCAGGCACAAACCATGACGGCACCCGACTGTGAACAACCTGTGTCCATCCCCAATAAAACGGACGGGTGAGTGAGTCCACTCCTACGGCAGCACTACGCAGCAGTGAAAAGCGAGGCCTCCACACCACGGTGTGCTGCAGAGACGAAGCGCGGACGACGGCAGCCAGACGGGAAAGGGAAAAAACACCGAGTAATTCCACTTACATGAATTTCAGGGATGAACAAGCTAATCTCTGGGGGAATACCAGACATCTGAAGGCGTTGCCATAGTAACCCAGGCCCATTGAACCGTGTTAACAACCTGTTATCATAAAGAGGAGCTATTACCTGTCTCCAGAGTCCACTTAGAGGGGCACCAGAGGAGCAATTATTCCTCACAGAGCCGAAGCTACCGAGCTCATTTCAGGGCTCTGGGGTGGGTGAGGGTCTGACAGAGCAGACGAGGATGCCATGGAAGCAGGGCCCAGGCTCACCGGGTCGCCCAGCAGGGCAACGCTTGCTCTGGCTTTTCTTCTGCAGCTCTCTCCACAACGGTGTTCCGTCTCCTGCTCCCTCCCTCCTCAGGTCCCTGCTGTCTCCCTGGTGATGCCAGGGCTGCCAAGGGCCCTGCCCTCCACTGCCTGCCTTTGGGAGGGCACCACCTCACTGTGCACTCCCAAGTGAGGCGCCATGGCTGCCTGTGGGGTCACACGAGTCCAGCCGCAGGACCTGCCTTCACTCTAGCTCACTCTGGAGTCTTCTGTCTTTATACACATCAAGCTCCTTCATCTCCAACAGGTGCACATCCCTCCGGAACCCCCGCTTCCTCCAACGACCTGTCACCCTGCCGGGCCCCTCGGCATGCATCTGTCTGCAGTCACACTGACTGTATCCGTCTTTGTCTCCTCCTTCCGAATAAAGATGGCAATACTGTGTCCCTTAGCTGGATCATTACCCACACCCTAAACCACCCCTAGGAGGGTACAGCCTTCAGTGCCTTCCACTGAAATGGGGAAGGGCGGCTCCCAGGGTGGGCAGCCCAGAGGGATGTCGTCCCCATGCTGCTCGCTGCTCCAGGCGGTGCTGGTCACCCACTCCAATCTCAAGGCCCGTACCCGCCACAGAGAAGAGACTACAGGTCCCGCAGGCGAGGGCTGGTGCTGGGGGACCCCGAGAGGCTCCGCACCAGGAAGTAGCTTCTCCTCATTACCACAACTCCCACCCGCTCTTTGACTCTTCTGCCCCACAGCTTACATGAAGTGTTATCTTCTTCCCCTTTAAACTCTCCATGTGGGGTAAAGCCACTCTTCCCATTCTCCACAACCAAAACAACACTGTAGGAGCTTCCCTCAGTCTGGAAAGTCTCCTCAGGAGAATGCCTGCTCCCTCTCCAGGAAGTTCTCCGTCAGCCCCAAGCTGTATCCAGTTCTGACCTTGCCTGCCCCCGCCACTTTTCCAGCAGCATGCAGAAGACGCCAGGCAGGGACCGCCTGCTGCAGCTATTCCCAACTGCTCCTGGCCCACGAGCACCGAGGAGCAATCCTTAAAGCACTGATGGGAAGCTAAGGCCTGAGCGATGGCGGTGAGGCCCAGCGCGGCTGGAGAGAGACGGCGCAGGATAGGAGGGGGGCTGTGGCCCAGGAGGCCCCACATCCCCACCGCAGCCCCGCCCAGCCTGGAGCCCAACCCGTCCGGCTCAGGACTCACCAAAGCTTGCTCTATGAGGAGGCAGAACAGGATGGCATTGCCCACCTCCCGCAGGCTCTGGAACACATCGGTTTTGAGCTCTGCATATTCGATGATGTCCTTCAGCTGGTGATGGAAGAACTCCAGGATGCCTGGGAGACAGAGGGAACGGTCAGCAAGGGATGCCCTGTCTAAGCTTCCGGCCATCAGCGCGCTCAAGGGTGCGAGTGCGTGTAGGGCTCAGAATGGGAAAACACTCCGGAAGCTGGCACAGAGGACTCATCAGAACAGAATAACACAGGCACACAGACACAGATGGGGCGGTCCTGGTCCAAGGGTCTCTCCAGAAAGGTTTCTCTTATACTAGGTGCCTGAATTTTCAATAACAATATGACAATTTATAGGCTTTAAATACTGTGTTTTGCTCTCTGCAACATTTGTTACTCCTAAGAATTACATAAACTGGGCGTGCTGAGACCTTGAGGTTCAGAGAGGGGAAGTGACACGTCACAGTCCCAGGGAAAGTAAGTGGCACAGGGGACCTGGACACCAGGTCGTGCGGCCACATCTCTTCCCTACCCTGAGTCACACCGGCCTAGTAGATCTTGGTTCGCAAGGAAAAAAACCATCATGGTCTCCATCTTCCTCTAATTCCTAGGCCAAATAGGGAGTAGAGAAAATGCCTGTTTCCTGATTCACCTTGGCACTGGCCCTGCCTGGGGATCAGCCTTCTCCGAACAGGAGCTCAGAGGTGCTGCGGTCCTGAAGACCGTTACAGGGAGCCATGCTGCACAGGCCCTCTCAAGCGCTGCACCCTTCCAGTTGCCGGCAGTCCCAAGGCAGGCCCAGCAGACATCACTGATCTCCTCTCGTGGGGCGCTCTGCTGCTCCGGTGGGGATGAAGTGTTCAGGGCTCTAGCCAGAGTGCAAAGCCAGGGCTCTGGGAGCTCACTGGCAGGGCAGAGAAGCAGACAGTGCAAGGTGGATGGCCAGAGCCTCCTCCCCGCTCTGAGATGGGCTTGCACTTCCCGTCACCAACCTGGGGAGCCGTACTCATGCCGGGGCAAGCGGCAGATCTTGGGCATCACCTCGATCAGTGTCTTCACGTACTGCAGAATGGTCCCTTGGAGCTACAAAGGAAGCACAAGGTGCATGAGACGGCCCGCTGCTGGGCTGTGCACTGCTCGGCACCTCGGGCTGAGGCCGGCTGCTGGGGGGCGCATGTGGATGGTCTGCTGAGACCTGAGCGAGGCGCTGCCCCGGGGAAGGAGCAGATCCTCACCTAAAAGCTGGCATACCCCAAGGCCTTTCAGAATCAAGAAAAGGAAGTCAAGGCACATGGACTTCGAAAAGGACACATTTCTAGGCATGGGGTCCTTTTGGGGTTGCACAAGGAGTGAAAGAAAATGGGGTCAGGGAACCATGGAGATTGAGAAACACCTAATGTAAGCATGGAAGATTCATAGCACATTCATTCCTCCTGGGTCCAAGGCAGACATCCCTAATCAATTATCACGTTTTCCTTATTCTTAATTTAACTTCACACTTCTTGGTCATTCATGGCTTTACACAGCTCTGCTTGCTATTCCACACCTGGCTAGACATTTACTTTATCTTAGGTCATCTTATGTATTCAGGAAAATCTATGCCTTTTGGCCTTGCGCCGGCAGGGAGTTAAGTAAAGGTTTGGACGATCACACGTGGGGCTGAGGCAGAAAGCTGGCAGGGATACAGAATCCTCTTGAAGCTAGCACAGCGTTGGTTACAACAGCAAGAAAGCTCAAGTGGAGAGAGTGCAGCAATTGATTAGAGATGTCTGTCACAGGCATGGCAGTAGAAAATGGCAACACAAGCTTCATGGATTTGCCATCCCTAACTAATGCAGCACAGGTGGGATGTGTAAGGAGCCATTAGTTGCGTCTGAAGGTCCAATCATCAAAAACAAGGACTTTGGGCTGTAAAAAAAGGAGGCAAAGCCACAGGTTAAGATACTCAGAAATACACCTGAATAATAAAATGGGAACTTCCAAGAGATAAGGCCCAAGGATGCCCTGGGGAATTTCCAGAAGACTCAGAGCGCTTGGGCTTGGCTGTCACACCACAGTTACAAGAGAAAGCGAACTTTGTTCATATCCACATGGGCCGAGGCCACTCCTTACCAAGCTCTTCACAATCTTCAGTAGCTCCTCCATGACCACAGCAATGCCCTGGTAACCCAAGAGTCTGCAGATAGTCTTGAAATGCGGGGGTCCCACGAAGTTCCTGTAGGAGCTGTAGATGTGACTGTAGGCGATGTTGAGAGGCTGGAAAACAGGTGGTGGCTATGTGAGCAACAGTCCCGGGTGGACATGGTCGGGAGTCCCAGTGGGAGATGCTATGGGGACAGAAGGGACAAGATCCTGATGTACTGGGGGCCTTGGAATACATCTGCACAACATCGGTCAGGGAGAGGAGTATGTTGTGACCGGTGGACGGAGCACAGGTTACTAAAAAGAAGGAGCTGCTCCCTAGGCAAAGAGGGGCAGGTCTTCCAAGCAAAATTCTCTCTCACAAGGACTTCCCCAGTGGATCCATAGGTCAGGGATACATGGCTGGCGTTCTTTCTCATGAGGCAACACAGCACTCAGAATTGGCAGGAGGAACTCCGTGCCCATGGCTCAACCTCTACTGCTGGCTGTGTCCATGGGGTCCTGGGAACTACCAGGCAGGACTCAGGAGAGGACTTCTCAGCGTCTGCAAAAACCACCTCCAATCCTTCTTCTGTGAAGTGACGGGGACTGGATTACATCAGCATGTTCCTAACTTTTGGAGCAGCAGTCCAAAGGGAGGACATCATGCAAGCTGTTCGGTGCGGTGGAGCTGGCCACGCCACCAGCTCCCATGAGACAGTCTAAGTGAACTAGAAAGCTGTTATCAAGATTTCTTCTGTCTGAGAAAATATGCCTGAAATATCAGGCCCTGACTCATCTCAGGTGTCTGGCGAGGCTATGAAAATTAGCACGGACTCTAAAACTGTATTTAAAATACTACATAAGGAGCACTTCATTCCAGGCTGTGTGAGGTTCTCCATGGATAGTTCATTGAACCACCCAACAAAATAGAAACATTACATAACATTCACACACCCATTTCACAGATGAGGGAACTGAGGCTCAGGGTGGTCAGTAGCTCACTTAAGGTTGTAGTCGATTGGTAACAAAGCCCGGATCTGCTCTAAGTAGGGCTGATTTCAAAGTCTGGGTGCTTAGCTCTCTACCTGTATGAATTTGAGCTCTTCTACAAACCACAGCTGGTTATTCAGATAAGTCTGCTTCTCAAAGTTCAGCTCTGACTATAGTTTTCCTACCTGAAATTATATGATTCTTGTGCATGAACACACAGAGAAAGGCACATCATACCTGATGTTGTTGGCTGAAGTTTTCCATAAGTCGGCTAACTGGAAATTCTACATGAATCCAACAAAAACTGTGGTGCTGTTTACGGAGGACTACAAGATTCCCCTCCCTCTGGAAACTCTGAGGGAAGACTTAACCAGGCGCAGCCTGGCTTTAAGTATGTTCTGCTATGCATGGATTTCCCTAAACTTTACCAAACAAACGTCACAGTTCCAGTATCTTTCTAATAATAAGGATACATGGCGAATAAACTTAAGAGTTCTCACTAATGACAAGGACCCACGAGGACCTGGAACACCCACCCACTCCCCAGGTTGAGTAACAGCACGCTTGCTAAGCTTAGGCCTCCACGCTGGGAGGCTTGGAACATGACAAAGACCAGGATCTGTCATGTAAACTCTGCCTGAACCCGGGCAGGGACACAGTGTATGTGCTTTCTAAATGTATGGACCAGGGGCAGTTTATGCAGAAAGGGAAATACGATCAACTTCAAAGTTTGCAATTCACTGAAGCTGATGTTCAGCCAGTCCTGGAAGCACGTGAATTATTGTGTTGGACTGAGCCAACCCAGGCGCCAGGCCATGTCACTCTGTTCGCAGAGTAAAGCTGTTTTATTTAGTGCCTAACAGGCCACCCTACCCAAGGCTGGGGACGGGAGGAGGGAGGGTTGTGGAGCACACCGAGCACAGGATGCAGGAGGTGCCTGCTCTCCTATATGGGTGTGGGTTGGTTCTGGCTCTGCCACTGAAGGCCTGTAATTCCGTATTCTCCTGTTGCCCCCTTCAGAGGTGAGGAGTACCTGGCAAACACCCAAGCAACCCTTTTCCTTCAGGGATAAGTACTGGAAAGGAGAGGACAGGACTTTTAGAGCAACAGCAAAGCTCATCATGTTGATTAGATAGATCGTGACAGAACATATGTCTGGGTCCCTCCCAAATTCACACACTGAAATTCTAAGCTCCCATTGGATGGGATTAAGAGAAGATGACTTTGGAGGCTGAGTCTGTCTCATGAAGGAAGAAGCTTCATATATGGGGGTTAGAGCCCTCAAAAAAGAGGGATGTGCTTCCTCTCCTCTGCCACATGAGGCTACGAGAAGACAGCTGTCTGAGCTCCAGATTTGCTGACACCGAAGTCTCAGACTTCTCCACTCTAGAACTGGAAGGAATAAGTGTCTGTTGGTTAAGTCATAGTACTCTAGAACTCTTGTTGGAACAGCCCATCCTAACAGCTTTACATTTTAGCAGAAATGACGGTACCCCAATTCAAACATTTAAAACTCCACTTGAGTATGGCTGAACCCAATTCCCTTCCTAATATTCACTTTGAGAGACTGAACTACACAGCCACGCTTTGAGCTTTCTCCTGCAGAGAGCTGCATATGCAGCCAGACCCCGCATCATAGCCAGGGCGTGCTCCTGGCTATGGGGCAAGCGATAGAGCTCCTGCCCACATAGCTGATGATTCCTGCTCTCACTAGGGCAGTTGGGCTTCTCTGAACCCCAGAAAGCACATTCTTCTTTATCCCCCTTTCAAATGTCCTATACATGGAATTTCTCAAGAGCTGGGAGCTCAGACGAATAAACCCAGTGGGCACAGAGAACAATCTGCTGCTCGCTGTATTACATTCTGATTCCCGCACTTTTCTTCATTGGTCTGAGCCTAAAGGATGGGCTCTTGGGTGGGGCAGCTACAGCTGAGCTCAAAGCCCAGTTCTCTGATTTACTAGCTGGATGTCACCTAAGGCCCAGGCCTTGGCTTCCCCTTGGATGATAACATCCTCTCCAACAGGATGGCTGGAGGTTTGCCTGACACACAGAGAGGAAGCGCTATACTAAGGAAGCTCTCAGATATAAGAGCTCTTTGTGTGACTTCACCTGGTAGCTTGGGAAGCTAACCGAGAAAGGCCAGCTCCAGCTCCCATCGCCTTGCGCGAGCCTGGGCTGTGGCTGGGAATCCCCGAAGATGGGGAAGCCAGTGCGTGCAGGGCATGGCTTCCCATGGCACAGCGTGTGTCCCACAGGGGAAGCCACGGGAGTCAGACCTGGAGCTGAGGCAACAGGCTCCCAAGCTGCAGATTTTGCTCCATAGAAGGGAGAGCTGCCCAGTAACACAGCTCTGGGCAGCGTCGCTCCCCGACCTGAGGCTGGAATAATGGTGCTCTGTGCCCCTTCTGAGGTACACACTCCACTGCCTTCCTCCTGAACACCCACCCTTCTGAGCTGACTCCTGAGCAGCCCCCCAAGGCCCCCACTCTCCCCCCAAGGGGCTTCCAAACTAAGTTTCCCTGACACTTCCAGGCAAGCACAGATCGATGCATGTTCAGAAAGTGTTCGGCAGACCTTCAAGTTCTAGGTGGAGGATAAAATGTTTGGAATTGTTTTGCCACACAAGGGTTTAAAAATGTGCCCCCCAGCCCCAAACCCACTTGGTGCACTTAGGAGGCTTTTGGATGGCATTCTTAGGTCCGTCTTGGATGCGGGTCTAGATGGGAATTTAGGCTTCAGTGGATGGCTCAATCTGTTTCCTGCAGGAAGACCCGCTGTGCAGTGTGCTGAGCTCAAATGCTCCTCCTAAGTGAGCAAGCTCCGGCCGGCCCCACGCCCCGCAGGACACCACAAACATGCAAGAGAAACACACACGTGCGGAAAGTGCGTGCACACGCACACCCCCGGAGGGCACCCATCTGACCTGCTGGCTCAATAGGAGGCTGGGCCCTATTGAGAAAATGTGGGAGTAGGGGAGCCTGGGCATTTTCTGGGGTATGACAAAGGAAAAACAGGAATTCAGGGTGATGTGATACACTGGCTGCTCATGTATCATGCCAAACCACACTTCCCTGCCGAGGTTCTGACTGGTGGACCCGGGAGGAGGAGATCGCATCTCCTTGTTCGTTTAGCACTGATTGCTCACTGAAAATGGACCTGACTAGGTCCACGTGACCGACAGACAACTCTGCGAGATCTCTAACACATCTACCACCTCGATGAAACCAGCTGAGCCATGTTGTCATCTGGTGACCCTGACTGTAAAGTACTTTCTGAGAAAGCAAATATTTTAAGGAGAGGAAAAGTACAGTGAATTTGGTCTGTGGGATTGTGGGCACTGTAAGATCTGGAGACGGAACTTTTTAAAAACTGTGAGATACGTATTTTTTAACCTTGACTGCTTTCACCATCTTTAACGGTGGTAAATGAACTTTCAACCTCAAGGCTTCCCTCCGGCTCTCACCAGATGGTGAAGATGCTGAAAATAATAAGGCTTATTTATTTGGCCAACTGAATTTGTAAGCAATTTGCATCTCTGCTCTCTGGAATCACAATTGCTGTTTTCAGGAATCCCAAGAGGAATTAAAACTTTCTCATTTCCTGTTTTCATTACCATTTCTCTAATGACTGTCATCAGCCCCAAAGACAAACACAGCCTCTAATTCGGGCTGGAGAGCGGCAGCCTCGCTCGAAAATCACTCCAGGTGAATGCAGCTGGGATATGTGAGTAGCACAGTGGCACCGCCCTTGCTGAGAAGTTGGTGCAGAGGCCTGGCTGATGTTGGCTCTGGTTCAGAGCTTTTAGAGCTTGGGAGAGCCTGCTAGGTGTCTGAGATCTGTTTGCAGTACTTGGAGAGCTGTGGAAAGGAGCTCAAACATCAGCTAGGTCTCTTCTTGGTATGCTCAGCTCCCATGTGGTAAGACCTCAGGGCGTTGCTGTAGAAATCTCAGAGAATATGCTTGCTCCCTTGCGCAGGGCAGGAGCAGCACCTTCCAATTCTGTTCCATCCACCATGTGCTAACATTTTTGGAGGAAACCAAAGCAATCACTTTTCTCTCTCATAGAGCCCTCCTAGAAGCTGTAAGTCAGTATCACCAGACCCCAATCAAGGGGTGGGGTCACATTCCTTCCAGAGAGCTTCAGGGGAGAATCTCCTTTGCCTCTTGGGCTGCTGTCATCCCTGGCTTGTAACCACTTTGCTCTGAGCACCTCACCTGTGGTGGACTGACAACTGGTGGTCAACTTTTAACACCCAGCTGCACTGAGCCTGCCTGGTGCTAGGTGCAGGGGGCCCCCCTGAGGGTTGTTGTTGGCAGCATAAGAGACAGAAATGGAGAGGAAGATGTTGAGAAGCTGCAGGGAGCGGTCGGTTTTCCTGGAGAAGCTTCTCATGCTGGCTATCCTGATGAACGTGGCTCTTGTTATCATCGGAGGAGCTCGGGACCTTGCTGTTGCCGACAATGGCTTCAGTTCACTTCGGGCGAGCTCTGGTCCTGATGGAGCACTGCTCAGTCTCCTGGAAAAGTTGGTGACGCTGGCTTTCCTGGTAGAGACTTGGCTGTTCTCATCCTCAGAAGAGCTTAGGGTTCACTGTTCCTGAAGATGGTTGTAGCACTTTTCCGGGGAGCTCTGGTCCTTACTATTTTTTTTTTTTTTTTTTTTTTTTTGTGCTGACAATTTATTTGAGCAAAGTAAGTTTGGGTATGTTGACTTGAGTTGTATACGGATGGACATAAAACTTCCGCCTTTCTATTAATAAAGCTGATTCAAAATAAATATTTTTAAAAACTATCAAACACTAACGCATAAGTATTGTCTACAAATAGTTCATAAGCGAATCACTTGGGATTAATATTCATTTTCTCCACAAAATAGTTCATTTAACTCTCCTTAAGCAGGAAAAGAAAAGCCCAACAAAAATGAAGTCATGCCCATGGCACCAGCAAAATGTCACTTTCAGTGAGGAAAATACCAAGACCAAGACATCTGCAAAGTATCTGAGGAGAGTTACACATTCTTGAACTTGTTCTAGAACCTAGGAGAAAGTCTGGGGAACGAGCATAACTGTTAAGAAAAACTTCAGGCGGAAAGGTCTGGCCAAATCCGAGCAGCTATCACACCGTTTCGGCTCCCCGATTCCCCTCCAGGCCTTCCCAGCCACTGAGGGTACCGCGCAGGCGAAGGAGCTGATGAGGAGGAGCATCGCCCCTCCGCACTCCGAAGGGGCCGTCTCCAGAGGCTCTGCTCTGTCCCAGGCCGGCTCAGTGCTTGTGGGCCGCACGCTTCAGCCGCATGACGGTGAAGGTAGCAGCCGTGAGCTTCTCGTAAATAAGGAACATGAGCGCGGCGGTGAGGACTGTCTGCAGCAGTTTGGCTTCAAGGCCTTTGTAGCATCCCAGTATTCCAAAACGCTTGACTCGCTCATGAAGAAGATAGAGGACATTCCGCAGACTCCCCAGCGTTCTGTTTTCTGGGTTTAGTCTGTGACATCCAAATCTCAGAATTGACTGTACTGTCTGCAAGGGATAGGTGGCCGTGGTGGCAACTGCTGTGGCTGTTGCACCAATGATGACCACACCCAAAGAAGAACGCTGCATCCGTTTCTTTAAAAGCTGCCATTTTAAACCTTCATAGAACATGAACTGGATGGCGGGATTGAAGACCAACAGCAACGAGGGACATATGCCATTCCACAAAGCCGAGACACCTTCATCTCGAATGATCTGGTGAAAAGCATCAACAATGCCTCTGTAGTTGTTTGGTACAATGTCTTCATTCCGAAATTTTGCCCCTTGCAGCTTCAGTCTGGTGTTTACCACCCACAACGGAGTTGTTAGCAACACATTCGCCACTCCTGCCACAAATCCAACTACCAGATCTTTTCTAGTAGTAGAATGTTGACCTTTGACCCAGACTGCTTTGAGGCTATTAAAAGGGTAGAAATAGACAAAATTGGAGCAGCGGAGACTGGAAATAACTGGAAACCACCCTCGGTTTGGTGCCAGGAGGCCTTCCTCTTTAATGATCTCCAGCAGCACCATGTGTGTAGTTTTGGACTTTCTTTTCTCATCAACCTGAAGCTGAAGTCTAGCTGTATCCAAGGGGAGAAACACTGTCAGTGCAGTCACACTTCCCACGGCTCCTGCCACGGCACGGACCAAGTTCTCGTAGGACAGCACAGAGGCCACTGATGCGGCTTCTGGCAGACTAGCCACACTTTTCTCACAGGCCGCTGTCAGAGGAGTTAGGAAGAAGTGCTGGGAACCTGGCGTGAACAGTACAAACTCCACCCCATTAGGCTTTCTCCTCTGGGCCTTACTTTGAGCATTGTGTCCTGTCTCCAGTCAGACCCCACAGCCTGCTGGCACAGATTCTTCGTCCCATTGGCACCGACTTTCTAGCTTCCACCACTGACCTCTGGGCCTTCTTAGTGCAGATCCTTGAAACAGGCCTGCGTGGGACATTGTCGTGGCCTCTAGTTGGACTCTTGGAAGGCACTGCGATGGGCTCCAGGTCTTCAGCTGGACTCGTGCAGGACACTGCTGTGAGAGTCAACCTGGCTGGACTTTTTGGGTCTTAGTGTGTAGAGAGACTTCCTGCAGCTCTTTGCATATGGCTCTCTGGGTGGCTGTTATAAAAATAATATTGTAAACTGTGCGTTCTGCATTGCATTGTTCCCCTTGCAAACCTCAGGCTAACGCAACATCTCCACCGAGTCTCTACATCACCTTCTCTAGGTGTGTCCTTGGAGCCCCAGTGCCCAGTTAGCACATGGCTGGGACCTGTCTGTGTGCTTCTCTCTCGGGGCAGCATGTGTGATGGCTCATGGGTCATGTTCCCATCTCAAGACTCCTCACTAAGTGCACCTGCAGAGACTTTCTGTTCAGAGAACATTCCATTCACGGGCTCCGGGATGAGGGCCTGCTGTGCGTGGGGACCATGATCAGCCTATTACATTCAATAAGGAAAACAGTCATCTGCTCTTAGTGGAGGCAGGACCTGGAGGCTGAGTGAAAGGAAGGGACTGGCCTGAGCTGAATCGCAGGGCCGTGCTCTGCCACATGTACAACAACAGAAGACGTCTGGGCTGCTGCGGATGAAATGTGGTAGAGTCTGGCAGTGGTGTCCCGCAGACCCGGGGAGGGGTGGTAGCCACGAAGTGGCCACTGGTCATGTTGTTGCTGGGGCTGGCGGAGAGGCCCCCGGTCGGCCCAAGCGGGAACCTGGCAGCCAGGTGGGCACCTGTGGAGACGTACTTGGCTCACTGCAGCAAAGCACCGGTCCTACTGGGGTCGTGCTGCAAAGGAGCAAGCTTGAGTGTCCCTGAGGTGAGGCTAAGAGGCCTCCCATAGCAGTAATGACCACGCTGAACAAAAAACTCACACCACCACTCTCTAAATACCAAAAAATGACTGGGAAATGATGAAAAGGGTTTTTTTTTTTTTTTTTCTCCTGACATCACCACTGAGTGACAGCACTCTTAGGCGGGTGTACGTGGCCTCCAGAGCACAGCATGTTCCAGGGAGGAGATAAGCTGCTGGCTCTACCATCCAAATGAATGGGTGCTTCCTGGCGGCTCGCTCAGCTGCACCCAGGTGGCTGTACATTCTTTGCGGGGCCTCTAAGTTCCGTCTCCTCCTATCATTCTGGAGTCCATTATACTCCAAACTGTGCTCTCCCTCTCAAGAATTCAATTACTTCAAGGCGAGGGGCTACTGTGTGTTCAAGACTGCAGAGGGACCCGAGCTTCCCAGGAGGAGAACCGCGGGGTCACCGGAGCTCAGGCCTTGGCTCTATGCCTGAGCCAGCCCCTGTGAGCTGCGGTTCCTCCTATGCACCAAGGGGACCTGACCTATCTCAAAAACTATCACGTGAGTAAAATGCGCAAAGGTATAAAATGCACCAAAATGTTCACAATGGTTACTTCTGAGTTGTGTGACAGAAGATTTAGTGTCATGTTTCACTTTCCTCCATTCTTTAATATGTACAATAAGCATGCAAGTTAAAAAAAATGAAGCCAATAGGGCTGATTTAAGGGCGTCAAAGCAGAGAAGTACAACTTAGGGTGAAGCTATGACCACCTCAGGAAAAAGCTAATAACCAGCTACTGTTCCTAAGACCAGAACTGCATAGACACGGTGCATGTCACTATTGTAACACCGTACAGGGTAGGTAGTACTATTTGCATTTTACAGATAAGTAAACTGAGGCACAGGGAAAGCGAGGGAATTTGTTCAAGGCTGCAGATCCAGGATCAACATCTGGCTTGGTGGTTCTGGCTCTGGGACCAAGCCATGCCCTCACACCACTCCTCTGCTGCCCCCAGGGCGGGTGCAGGACTGTGCTCAAGGCTGACTTCCGCTGGTAGTAGCTGACATCCTGTGCGAGCCCAGCGGGGATGAGACGGCCTCATGGCTACAGCCGGGCTGTCCTGCACAATGGCTGAGGGAGAAAGGGCAGGATGATTTATCTCGCTGGCCAAAAACCATACCGGCTCCTGCAGGTCCCACTGGTAAGTGGTAGCAGCCTGGGGAGCGGGACGAGCTGGGACCCCGTTTCCGGTTCTGTCACTGAGCCATCCTGCGGCCTGAGGAAAGGCACGTCTTCTCTCAGGACTGAACAAATGACCTCCAGGCCTCTCATGCTCTGAGCCTCTTAATTCCTCACAAAACTTACGGTTAAAAATGTCACTTAGGAACATTAAAAATAAATCCCCACTTTCTGTGGAATAAGGATTGAGCTCTACTTTGGCCCTCCTCAAGCCCTTTAACACTGGTATTTTTATTCCCCTCAAAATAACCTTTTCAAAAGGCACCTGCAGACTGCAACGCTGGCCCTTCTGTGGAGAGGGTACATTTATACTTGGCGGTGCACCGCCATTAGGCTTTGGGAAGAGACACGCTGCATGAGTGGCAGCAGGCCTGAGGCAGGCCCCTGGGAAGACGGAATGCCAGGGAAGGCCATGGAGCCACCGTCGGACCACGAACACGGGTGGCCCGAGTCTCCACACCTCCCAGACCCTGGCCGGGGCAGTGTCTCTACTCAGAGCTAGCTCTCGCTGGCTCTGTGCTTATCACTGACACGGCTTCCTTGGAGACCGACATGGGTCACTTGGATACTTTGGCTAAGAACCAAGGGGGAGGAAGCTGACTTTTAAAATTATACATTTTTAGTTTAAATTGACAAACAGCCATTGTACATATTAATGGATATGCTCACAATGTATAATCATCAGCTACAGCGTAACTGGCGTAGCTACCACCTCAGTCATGCGTCAGCACCCTTTGGGTTGGGGACATTCAAGGTGCTCTCTACTAGCTTCTCGGAAATACTTAACTGTTTGCAACCACAGCTAGCGTGACAGCAGTTATTTTTTTCCTACGCAACAACACCCCTGCACCGCTGGCCATCTTCTCTGTCCCCAGCACTGCTCTCAGGGGCTGGTAATCTCTCCTCCGAACTCTTCAAGATCAACTTCTTAGCTTCCACCTTACAGGAATGTGCTTGTGTGTCCGTGTGTGCACGCTTGTGTGTACGTGTGTGTGTACGCCTCCCCAAGGCATAAGATGGGCACAGAAGGATTCAAAATATGACTTTTAAAAATATGTAACTGTTGTAAAATTGCTCTGGTCTAAATCCAGCGGGGCTCCTCTCTAGCCTCTATTTCAGGCACGCTATGTGGCTTCCCTCACAGAATGGTGGCAATGTGGCTTATGAGGGAGGTTGAGGACAGAGGAAAGGGCCAAATCTCAGCAAACATACGCCTTGTGAAAAATGCAAATGCACAGGTAGGAGTCTTGAATGAACAGGGACAGAAGGGAGCACCCGATCCAAGGACAGTGAGTGGCTCGACTGTGGGGGTACCTCCAGCTGATGATGGGGCTCTGGCTGCTCATGGGGCCTGCGCTAAGAAGCCTGAGCTGCTTTCAGGCCTATGTAGAAGGAGTGCTATAATAGACTCCTAGGCTTATTGTGACCAATTACTGCAAATGTGGTGCCCCCGAATGCTAGAAATTTCTTTTCACATAATTCTAGGAACCAAAAGCCTAAAATTCAGGAGCTGGTTAGGCTGTGCCCTCCCTGAAGGTTCCAAGGAGAATCCTCGCCTCTTCCGGCTTCCGGTGGCTCCTGGTGCTCCGTGGCCTATGCCAGCGCCATCCTAATCTCTGCTTGTGTCTTCCCATGGCTTCCTCTTTTTGTGTGTCTCTGGGGTAGGTCTCCGTCTCCTTTCTCTCACATACTCTGGTCACTGGACTTAGGGCTCACTTTAAACCCAGGATGATTTCATCTTGAGATGCCTGAGATCCTTACCGAAGGTCATACTCTGAGGTTCTGGGTACAGACGCATGAGGAGGTGGGGCATTAGTCAACCTCCTGTGGGTGCCACGAGAGCTGAGCAGCACAGCGAAGGGCTCAAGGTGGTCAGGGACAGCACCTGCGCCTTCTACCTGTCTGCCCAGTCTGGCCCAGCTGCAGCTTTAGAGATGACAGAACTGCATACGAAGGTCTTGACAAGAGAGATACCATAAAGCCTGCACAAATTAGATCAAACCTTAGGAAAGAATAAAGAAAGTATACAGGTACGGTGGGGTGGGGTGGGAAAGAAGGCGGAGATGATTCTACTAACAGCTGTGGAATAACTAAGGGTATCTTTGCTTCTAGAACCATTGTCCAACAAAAGATCTAGAGGGAGCCAGAAAATGATCACCCACAGAGTGAAAATGTGGGGATCCTGGAAAAATGAGTGGCATCCTAAGGATCATGCTGCTGGGGATGGTTTATGCCTTTCAGGCCAAAGGAATGAGAACTCCCCTCACTGGGAAAAAGGCTTTCCAGGCTGGTCCATGAAAGCATCGTGCGTAGATGCCTGCTGGTTGCCATGGTGAATGATGCTGATGTGAAGAAATGAATAATGTGAGCACTGGGGGCGACAGTGGGATTACTCAGTGGCAAGTGAGACATCAAGGGGAGCCTGGAGCGGAGGAAGCCACCATTCTTTCAGCTTGGGTCCCCTCTGCCTCGGCGGGTAGAGCTCTAACCAGATTTACTGCGAGCATCAGGTAAGAGATGTAGCTGGCTCCTCTTGAAAATGCAAATGGTTTTCTTTGACACCCTGCTTGGAGAAGGGCCAGGCAACTGTAAACGAATAGCTCAACATGGAGAGAATTTAGAAGCAGAGCCAGAAAAGTAAACCAAATAAGGGACTCAGATTTGCTTCTAAAAGCTGAGAATAATGCTAGCATCCTGAAAGAAAGCTCTTAAAAATGTCTGCTGTCAGGAACCCAGGCTGGGAAAACAGCCTGCTGCCGATATGAGGCAAACAGGAGAAAGGCATGTGTGTGACAAGAATAGGATTCCTGTTTACTCCCAGTAAGGGGTTTTATGGAGTCACTCCCTGTGTGTCATTGGGAGTGAATTACGCTCGGTTCTGTGGGGTGGGAAGAGTGTTATAGGCTGTGTGGGGAGGGAAGTGCGTACGAGGAGAGTGGGAGCCAGAACAAATGCCCAGCCTCCTTCTGAACAACCTTCCCGGGAAGACGTGAGCATTCCCATCGCATCCCTTTCCAGCTTCTTCCTTTTACCAAGAAATTTCCAGCCAACTAAAGGGAACTCTTTCTCTTCCTGGTCATGTTATTCACTTCTCTTTTTAGAGAGGAAAAGTAAGGATTACAAATGTACTCAATGCTGAGTATCTATCTGCAGCTCAACTCTGCCAGGAAAGCCTGGGAGGCTGGGGGCTGTGGGGTGTGGAGAAAGGCGGGTTGTAACAGAAATCAATTGGGCTTAATAGCCTTTTGGGGCTTTAGTGACTGCTTTTGCCTACGTTGTTACAACTTAAAATGAAACCTGTGCTTCATGAGGGAGAGGAGGGGGAAGGTGTTTATCAGAACACACCCAGGTTGCCTAGCGCTTTCTCTAGATTTTTCATAGGGAGAAATTCAGTGGAGGGGAGCTGCTGTCTCTCAGACAGAATTAAAGAGAAACCAGGAAGCTTGAAGATGGATTTGTCTGGGGAAATGGCAACTGGGACTTGGTCCTGGTGCCTTGTTTTGCAATAATGTTGTTACTGCCGCAGCCCCAGCAGCCGTGCGTGCGTCTGGAATAGGGCTGCTCTGAGTCCTCTCTCTTCAGGAGCCGAATGGCCCCGGGTTGCTACTCTGTAATGTGTGAATCCAGTTCAGCACAGATCAAGAAGGGAGGACTTTTTTTTTTTCTGCCTGTAAAGCATTGCATGTGACTGGGACACAAAAACCAGGGTCTGCCGTGGGTGGCTATTGCCATCACTAAGTCACAGGGCCAGGGCTACTGACTGGCAATTGTCACACTGTGTTAGGGGCTGACCACCTTGACCCAAGTAACTACTTTCCTGGTACCTTCAGCTTTGAAAATACAAATAAATAGAACACAGAAATGAAAAATCAGTTAGTGGCGAGGGATGAGGCGCATCTCTGTTCCTTAATGATATGGACAACATAACTGGGAGTCTAAAGTGCCCTGGGCAGAGCATTCCACATTCCTGGGGCAAGCACTCAGAACAGAGGCAGGAGGCTGGGAAGGGAAATTTCAGGTGAAAGAAATGCCTGCGAGGACAGAGGTCACAGACCTAGGACGACCAAGGTGGGATCCTAGGATTTCCTTCCTTCCCTTCCCCCTTCCTTCCTTCCTTCCTTCCTTCCTTCCTTCCTTCCTTCCTTCCTTCCATTCATCTGTCTGTCCTTCCATCCTTCCTTTCTGTTAAAAGGATGAGATTGGTGTTGTATGGGAAACATTTCCTCCAGGGTGGGGTTGGTAGAGTTACAGGAGCGGAAGGCTCGAGGTGCACTTCCGGTATGTCTAGCTAAGTCAGGTGTCTCTAGGACTGCATTTCTGTGACAGCAGAGTGGGCGTCCAGCATCAGCGCCTCATTCCTCTGCTTGGGACCAGGTGGCTGGGGTCCTGGTACTAAATATGTAAGTAGGGCGATGTCACTCTTCACTTTGATTCTGGTTGCAGAATCGGGATGAACATCGAGGTTGGGAACGTTTCCTACACGGGAGCCACCATCTCCTGGTCCTCCTCGGAGCCCTGCCTGGAGGACTACTACCATATTAATTACAGGCCCAACTGGAACAGCATCTTCTCTGGCTATCTCCGCTACAGCTTCTACCACGAGGAGAAGGTGCCTCGAACCATCAGCTCCATAGCACTGGAGCACCTGGCTCCCTCCACTCTCTACTTCCTCTGCATCAGCTGCAAGAAGGCGGCCTTCCCCTACCGGCACTACTGCACCATGTTCCACACGCTGGATAAGAGCCCACTGGCGGCCGGAAGCTCCCTGGTGGACCCCCAGCTCTCTCTCTGGGTGCTGATGGCCATTCTGCTGGCCTGCTTCACAGCTGTGCTGGCCTTCATCTGCCTGCAGTTCTGGTGCATTCGTTGTCACGAGCCTCGATGGTCATACAGAGCTGGCCACAGGGAGGAAGCCAACGGGCTGGTGAGATGGCCGGAGGAGGGCCCAGCTCTTGGTCAGAGAGAGGAAGATCCGCAGGGGCTCCCCCTGGTGGAGATGCTGCGCAAGAACTCTGCACCTGAAGCCGAACTGGAATTAGAGGCTCAGCAGGATGCACCAGCTAGGGGAGCCTCCCTCAGCGAGCTTGGCCAAAAACCTGCCATGCGGCCTCCCTGCAGGGAGTGAGGAGGGAGGAGACAGCTCCTATCCTACACCAGAAAGCCCCCCATACGTAGATCTTCTGTAAAAATGTACAGGCTACCCATTTCTCTCCCCTCAACTGTCAGCACTATCGTGGATTGCTGGTGTTGGACGCAAGGTTCAGCCGGAAGCTTCTCAAACTAGAAAGCACCCGCCCCAGGGCTGCCCCGGGGCAGGCACGGCTCCGCCTCTCAGTGTCCATCTCGGGGCCCTGTGGAGAACGGCAGGCACTAGGCTACTGTTCCATCAGCTCGGTCCTATCATGGAGCAGGAAGTAAAACTGCGCGACTGAAGTAAAGCACAACACGGGGAGGAAGTGCGCGGGCCGTAGATCCGGGGTAAGGCCTCAAACCCACTCTTCACGATTTGGTTTCTGTCCTTCTCTGGAACATGTGACAAGCCTCACAGTGGAACGTTCTCCAGCTTGCAGGCAATCAATCATGTTTCAACTCATATCCAATTTTCTTTTTTAAAAAAACATGGGCCATCTTTATTATTATTTTTAATAATACGTTCTCCTGAAGTTGGCTCATTTTTAAACCTTAAACATATATTAAAAGCCATGGGTTGCTCCTGCCAGGCCCAAGGGGTAAGAACCCATCTGAGTTAATCAGACTTTGAAGCTCTCACGTTGTGGTACCACCTAGTCGGTCCCTCTCCTAACTCCAGCTCTGCTCATTTTTTGAAAACCGGGTCAAATGTGGCTATTTTTATTCCAGCAGAAAGAAAAATGTCATCCTCTTTATGGCTAGGTGACATATTCACCCCCTTGGGTGGCAACCTTTAGCCCTCTCACACAAACCAGTGGTCAGAAATGAATCATGCAGCACAGAATCCCAGAATCACGCAACGACACTGAGACGAATCAGCTGAGAAATGAGCTGGTGGGCCAGATAAGCCCCATAGACCCGGCTCCCCACGCCCTCTGAGGGGCACCTGCCTCAGCTCCCACCCAGCGGTGGCCCGCCAGGTCCGTGAGCACCTGCACTGCCCTCCCTCCGCATCCCCAGCTAGCTGTGAACAAATAAAGATGCGTGTTGTTCACTCGCCGCTGATGACGCCTGGACCTCCCTGCTCCCTCCCAACCTCCGCGCCTTCCTGTTTTCCTGACTCCAGCAACACCTTCCCATTTGCTTTTTCTCCCGTGCCTTCTCACAGGCAGGACGAGGCAGGGCGCCTTACCTTGGAGCCGTAGAGATAATAAGGCTGGACATTGGCAGGTTTATCACGCTGTGGTTCTTGGGTGAAGGGAATGGCAGTTCGGACAAAGCTAGTAAGACAAGAGAGATGGGGAAGATGTTAACAGAGTCTGCTGTGACCCCACATGGGACACAGATAGCAGGGGACCCCCTCAACCAGGCGAGGTTCACACTGTGCAACTGCACTGTCCTGGGCGGTAGCCTTTGAAGGCACCGCGTTCTCCTTCCATCTTCCCTACAAAGCGAAGCCGCGGCTCAGACTGTCAGGCTCGGCTCAGGGATTGAGGCTGCTTAGAGGGCAGCAGGCAACAGGCGAGTGTGCACGGGGACCGCAAAGGGCTTTTCCAGGTCTTGTCCCCACCTCCAGCTGCATTTCAGGAGCTGGGTTCAGTACATTCTTTCTGTAAAAGCTCAGAAAGCAAGTATTTTCAGCCTTGCAAACCAGGCAGTCTCTGCTACAAGCACTGCACTCCACAGGTAAGCGTGACAGCACAAAGCATGCAGCAGCCAATGAGCACGGCTGAGTTCCAATAAACACAGTGCATTTCAAATAATTTTCTCATACCAGCAAATACCATTCTTAATATGCTTCTCCCAGTCACTCTATAATCCCTTTCCCCTTCACAGGCGCTACCAAAACAACCAGCAACTCCATGTCTCTCTAGCTTTGTGGACTGGGCCAAAAGCTGCTGCTCCTTGCTCCATAATGTGCTAAAAATCTGAAATCTTCGTATAACTGGAAGCTTGTCTTGCTCGGTGCTCCCTAAGCCTGGCCTGAGGTACTGAGAGGATCTGTAGACCCGTTCATCTTGGCACAAACTCCAAGTACAGCTCCCTCGTGCACCAGGGTATGAGGCTCTACAGGGACAGCTGAAGTCCTCTCTGTCTCAGTGTAGGAGGAGAGCTCCATTCTGTCATGAACCAGCCTGCTCTGGACAAAGGTTCAGACAGTCGGGCACCCTGACAGATGTCCAGTGAGACTGTGGCAGTCCCCTTCCTCACACTTTTCCAGGGTTCAAAACGGCAGGGTTCTGCTGTGGCCTGTGGGGCAGCGCAAGGCTCCCCACCTGAGCTTCACCGCACAACTGCCCACTGCACTTTATGACCTCACGCACCTCTCTTAGTTCCTCAGAAATGCTGGCAGGGCTCCTGTCCTCCTGCCACTGCACTTTCTTCCCCCTCAGCATCTCAGCTCCAGCATTCTTTCCTCAGAGGAGAAAGCCTCCCTGAGGTCTGCTCCGCTTCCTGGACTGGACCAGGAGGTGGCCTTTATCTCCCTTACTTATGGCTGTGGCACTTTCTGTCCTGGGATGGCTTAATCACCTAAGCCTCAGGATACCCTGCTCAGAGCCCGTTCTCTAGAAGGGCTCCCACAGATGGCTGTCACACTGCTGGGTCCAGGCTAGAGGACAGCTGGGTGAAACGCAGAACCCCCTCCAACCTGGGCCCCCCCAGCCCTGGCTCCCTCACCGGTTTGTGGATCCATTGTAGCAGTAGTTGGGGAGGAAGTCAAAGTTCAGCTCCCAGAATACATGCAGGGTGATGCGGCCATAGGGGGCTGACACATTGTGATTGGCCTCCCGGAACATGGCATCGAAGCTGTCCAGTGTCATATGCTTGCAGAGCAGCCGATGTGTGAGTCGGTTAATCTCCAGCAGCCACTCAAGCTCCTAGGGACAGAGGACGGAGACTGCGGAGGCCGTGCACAGAAGGCCCGCACAGGGGCACTTTACCTTGTGGACCTCTTTCAGGCAGGTGGGCGCCCGTCAGACAGCATCTTGACATTTACATGAGCATTACAGTTCTCCTACAGTGGCACCAGACAATGTTCTCCTGTTCTGAAAAGTAGAAGAAATAGCCAGGCTATGCTGGGGGGACACTGGGGGTGCGGTGGGGTGCTGTGTGCCTGAGCTCTAGAGGAAGGAAACCACCAACCGTGCAGAAATCCTGTGTGCGGTCCTTACGGCAGGAAGCGCTACATCTGCTCACTATCCAGTTTCTGTACTGGTGAGGAGAAACCCTGTCCCTAAGCATCACAATATAAAAGAAAGCTGTGATTCTGCATCACCAGAGGCAATTTCTGTGCCCTGCACAAAACAATAGTAAGAGCTACCACCTTTTTGGTGCTTATTGTTAGGCTGGGCCATATGAAGTTTGTTGTTCTGGGTCAGATGCTATCAAATATTGGTAATGTCTCTGGTTCCAATTAATTCACACATATCAATTTTATATGTATGAATGCACCGAGTTCTCATCAATGCCCTGCGAGGTCAGCTTGCTACTGGCTTTACTTTATGGGTACAGAAACTTAGGCTTTGAAAAATTACTGACTTGGCTTCAAACTCAGGAAATTGGGCCCCAAGGGAGACCTCCTTACCCGCTATACTATTTCCATGAGAATTTTTGAAGGAAATGGAAGAGAAAGCCTCCTCCTTTGGACTGTGGGCATCACACTCAGGAGGCAGCACAGGTGTAGCAACAAGCCTTGCACAAGCAGGCTAGCTGGCCTGAAGTGACCAGGGACCTCTGAACAGTGTAGGCCCCGGCCACTGGGCATCACCTTCAGGTAGAGTGTGGGTCCGAGAGGACACCTGAACACAGAGGACCCTGTATTTGCAGGGAAACGGGAGTAGAGAGAAATCCCTCAGGCTCATGCTGCTTTCTAGTTCCCTAACTCCTCAGCCACTGCAAAGCACGAAAGCCCAGGAGAGGGTGAGGAAAGAGGAGGCAGACCTGGCGCTGCAGCGCATGGGGCCACAGACGCTGTTTTAAGACATCTTGTAAGAAAGATAGGACTGACCCTGTGTCACAGAGTTGGGGAGAAACAGATCTGTAAGGCCGAAGCAGTCACCCAGGGTCGCACAGGGAACACACAGCAGGGCTTGGAATGGGAGCCCAGCCCTCCTCATTCTAAATCATGCATTCCCGGGCCTGTAACACAGCTGCCTGAATAAAGACGCAAGTGCTGGAAATGTCTCCCGAAGGGCAGGCATTGGTCTGCCATCGAAATGTGGTGGGCTTCCCCAGAGAGCCGAGTGGGATGGGTCGGGTGCCGGCGCTGGCGATGAGGTAAGGTTGTCACAGGAGGTAGGGAGTCACTTTTCTCTCTCAGACCTTGCCTCTGACTGTCCATCTACTAGGGCAGCGAGCTCAGCCATGTGGAAGTCAGGTGCGACTCTGTGGCTGTCATTTTAAGGTGCAGAACCTGCAGAAAGCTGACAAGCATTGGTGCCCACAGTGGCCAGACAGCCCACGGCAGGGAGACGGGCTGCGGTGTGGATGGGGCCCTGGGGTGGGCTGTCTCCGGTGGGCCCAGGTGAGCCTGCCCCTCTGAGGCTCATCTGTCGGCTGCCACGGCACAGTGGGCTATGGTTGGCAAGTCCTACATTTTCCAAAGAAAGTCAAAGTCTAGATTTCAAGTCTACAGCAGCAGCCAGAGGAGTAAATCTCCAGTCCGGGTGCACCATGAAGTCAGTGAAGAAGGGCAGGATCAGCTTTTGCCTGTGAGCTCCTGGGCCTTTGCTGGCTGCACTGTGCCGATGTACCTATCTGCTCAGAATGGGCATTAAGTAGATAAACAATAAGAGGTCAACTGTGAAAGGCTTCATTCCTAAGACCACTGAGTCACCTGGCACACAGTGGTGTCCTATGAGGGGCGGGCGAGGTAATCACAGATGAGAATCAGGAACCGCTTCTGGTCTTCTGTTCCATGACTTTAAGTTTCCTCAAATGCATATCAGCATTTAGGAGAGATCCAGGAGCCGGGCAGGCTTCTCATGCCTGCTGATGTGGGATCAGGCACCCGGCAGGTAATCCAGACTGCTTAATGGCACCTTTTGGGTTTGTTCTGGCTTTAAATCAAGAGCCATGGGTTTGATGGACACAGGCTGAGAGTCCCACGTGCAGGACACTGTAGGAAAGGCCACAGGAGCGGGCCAAATGCCTTAAGAGCACCTGGGCTCTCATCTGTGAAGGCTGGGCTCTCATCACTGACAGACGGCACACAGAAGCCAAGTGGGAAATGAGAACAGGAAGACCAGAGACAGCAGGGATGGGAGGAAGGAACCAGGAAAGCCGAGGGCCAGCCATGCTGGAGTGCTGGCCAGCTCCGGAATCTCAGGTGGATGAGGGGATAGGAGCCCCGATCTCAGGCGCAGCCTAGCCTGGGAGGCCACTGGGGCTCGCTCATGCCTGGGGGGCTTGCAGTCAGGAGAAGGGAGCTCGGACAGTGGAAAGGAACACGCAGTCATTCCCAGGCAGTTGCTGCCAGCTGGGAATGCCAGGCTGGATTGTCAGAGCTGTTGATGTTTTACTTGCATTCTCCCACATGGCTGTATGTCAGCTCAAAATTTCGAATGCACCACACAGCCTTAAAGGAACATGGGCTGCAGACTGCCACGGTCAGCTGCATTCGCCCTCAACCAGACTCGGTTCGCCCAGCTGTGCACAGCTGACCAATGCTCCTCCAAGTCTGCAGGTTCTCCCTGCTCCAAGGCAGCAGCGTTCCCACTTCAGAAGGGAGCTCTGAAGGGGAGGAAGAGCTGGCTTTGCAAACACATGGGAGCATCCAGCCAAGGCGCAGGGGGTCAGCCTGACCTTCACAGAGAGTGCGCTCTGGGGCTTCACAGGAAGGGATGCTCCACAGGCGGCTGCTGCCTCACTTGATAAACAAGGGTTTTCTCCACTTGTTTTGATTTTGTTCCCAGCTAAGAGAACATTCAGTGCCTTTCAGGGCTGGGAAGAGGCACACGCGGATAGACACACACACATGCACAGGCACTCGTCTCTCTTTTCCCGTGAGACAAGCTCACTGTTGGAAAACTAGAAGATACAGGTAAGCAAAAGGAAGACGAAGAAAACCCCGAACTCCCACTGCTTGGACACAAGCACACTCAAAGGAAAACTACTCCTGGAAATGGAGATGGATGGATGAATTTCTAGAAGGCAGCCTGCAGTTCTTGATCTAAGCACCCAGGATTGAGGTGCTTGGCCCGGGTCTTCATGTGAGGCAGTGTGGAAAGTTCTCCTAAGGCCACTGCACTCCAGTCCCGAATTTCTTTTTACATAAGCTATAACTTATTAAATACAAGAAAACAGGCTAAATTGTTTCCAGACACTATCTTATTGTATCTTTCTAACAATACCATGAGATGCATTCTAGTTCTTTCTCCACTGCAGAGTCAAGGAAACGGGCTTGGAGATCTGAAGGCCCCTGCCAAGATGGCACAGCCAGCACATGGCAGGGCCAGGACGCGACCTCATACTGGTCTAATTCTGGAGTTCTAGATCTTGGTCACTTTGTTCACTGAAGAAAAGCGCTTTATTGTTAAGTAATTATAGATTTACAGAAAAGATGTTGCAATGGTGTAACCTGTATGTTCTTTACCTCATTTCCTAAAAGTGAACGCCTTGCACAGCCACTGTACAATTATCTGAAGAGATTAACTGAGATACGCACTATCCGTGGAACATAGACTTCACTTAGACCTGTTCCATTTTCCCACTAAGACTCTCCTGCTCTAAGAATCAGGGTCCTCTAGGAGGACACCACGTGGTATTTAGTCATGAAACTTGATGTGGTAGTGTCATTCATTTCTAACTTCTACACTTTTAAGACTTTTCCTTGTCTTCCAGGACATGGCATTTTGGTAAAGTATTATTTACTTAAAAAAAAAATGACAAACAATATGGCTTAATATTTTCCCCTGATAAGACCAAGAGTGTGCAACTTGGCCAAGATCATATGATGAAAACAATTACGTATCTAGGGACTTAGAACCCCGAGAAGTAGTCCACGGTGCCCTGTCAGCTTGTGCCATGGCAGAGTTACCCCACTCCCTCTGGAGTTAACAGGTATCTGACAGAGTCACTTTGAGACTATGTTACTTCTTATTTCTCCTCAAGCCTTTTTTCTGAGTGACTTCATGCTGCAGAGAATTTGCACTCAAGTCTATGGTTTTAGCCCCTGTGGCTCAGTACATGGCCTTCAGCGTGGTCATTGTGCAGTGGCCACCACCGTCCACCTTGCGAGCCGCCACCTCCCTGACTGGGTCTCCAGCCACTCGACACTAATTCCTTCTACCTGGAAACCACAGTGTGACCTGTTGTTCCCACGCATGTGCCTACTCTGGAACATTCAAGGAATGACTTGAATTCAAGTTTTCTTCCCACTCAGCTTGGACAGATTTTGTCCACAAGAATTCTTAATATGATATTTTAAGAAGGGGTTTTTCTAGTTTTCTTCATTCTTTCTACTCATCTGCTTTGGAAGTATTAAAGGTTTCCTTTGATTAACTTAAAAGCTCATCAGTAAAGTTTATTCTAATTCTTGAGGTGAGAAAATAAAGAGAAAGCAGCTCTAACTACTATGTTCTAGAACAAGGGAATAGGCCTGTTCTGAGCTTGTGCAGCATCAGAATGGGCTGCACTATGTGACTAATGTGCCAATGTGGGGTCCCATGTTAAGGAATTATTAAGACTTTTGCAATGGTGAAAACAGAGAACTAAACCAATGTTAGAGCTTGCTGGGGCCTCCATTACTGCCCCATCCAGTCTACTGTGCTGGGTCCTCTAGCTTCCTGGGGCCACCGGCCTACCTGCTCAGCCCTTCAGATCCTGTGGACATGCAGCTGTGCCCAAGGAAAAATCATCGCTGGAGGCCCTAAGGAGATTCCCCTCCATTCTGACCCTTGTCCTGATGTTCAGGAGGATACGATTACTCTCACTCCAATTAAGTCCTTCTTTCTCCTGGCTTGCTCAGACAGGAAAGATGTAGGGAGTGGCTGAAGCGAGAAATACTTCAGTTCTGAGAGAAAAATCTTGCCCAAGACAATTCCAGTCATTAGTTGCTAGGCAACCCTGTGTTTCATGATACTAACTTTGCAAAAGTATAAATGACACCCCTATGGTGATTGTTTAGTCTTCTTTTCCAGTGCAGAAAGAGGCCACTCCACTTGACCTCAGCTTCTGTCTCATGTATATTCTCTAAATCCCCTGACTGCTTTTCCCTGGGACCACCAAGGACTGTGCTGGTTCACAGCTGAAAAAGGCCTACTGCTTCTCTCATACTGACCCTGTGTCAGCTAGCAACAACCCCAACTGGGGTTCTAGTCTCATCCCAGAGTAGAAAGCCTCCCAGTCCTCAGTCTCTTACCACAATGGAGGTCAGGTCTTCACTCTCAAAGCGGCTGATGGCCTGGTCCAAGGACTTATACATAGCCGCAGAAATGCGCTGGGTGATGAGTCTGTTCAAGTCGATGGATCTACCCAACAGCTAGATGGCAGAAGGAGGGGCGGTTACTTAGGATTCATGCTAACACCCGACAACGAAATGCAATGCACCGAAAGGATATGCACTAAAATTAGAGATCCTGGCACAAGTGGGGGCTGTAGGTAGAAAACGGCACTGTTAAATTTCCCAAGTATAGTAAGTTTATTTCAGTGTCACACAGGCTGAGTTATGCTGTGATGAAATGTCAGTATCTGCGGTTTATGCTCAACTGGTTAAGAGAAGTGTGCTTAATCTAACATACGCATATGTATACACAAACTGACACTACTGGGTGTATCTGAGCATATATTTGAAAGAAAAGTCAACTAAAAATAGTCCAACGTTAATCACCATGAACCTGGCTATAGGGTAGACAAGTGTTTATTGTGTTACTCTTCCAACTTCCCTGCAGGCTTAAGACATAAAAAGTTAAGGAAAAAGACCACTAACTCAGCCTGTGCAGGGAGGCTTAGGGCATGCTCGACTCCCCTGTAACTGCTTCTAAATTCAGGCTCGAAGCTCTCTCTGCATCTGCCCTGTGCTCAAATCAGCCACAAGACAGCAGCAGCCACCTCAGAAATGGCCTACTTTGTGCATTCATGGGGACAAATTTAAAGGCAAGAGCACAAAGGGCCAATTAAAGGATGGGAAAAAAACCAGCATCAGCTAAGGCCCACAGGGATACACGGGCATGTTTGTGCATGTTACACAGATAGCAACAAATATTCTTCAGGCAGTACCTGCTGTGTGCCCTACACGTCACTGGGTGCCAAGCGACTGCTCTTAGGAACATTATTCTCTTGCTTTTCTCTTCAGATAAATTTTCTCCTGCTGACTAGGGGCCCATGTTGTGACCGCACATGCACACGAAACCTACAGTATTTAACATCTGGTAGCTAATTCTGGCTGCATTGTGGCCAACTGCAGTCACCCGAGAGACTGAATGGAATGCGCACCCTGAGCTTATATGGGTGGAAGAGAAAGTGTGTTGATTCCTCTTCCGATTCTTTCTCCTGGATTTCTCATGGCAGGAGGGTCCACAGCTTTCAAGGCCAGGTCCTCTGTTTTCACCGTGCTCCTCTTCTTGGCCTCAGCCCTGACCCTTCCCGGACAGCAAAGACCACAAAATATGCACAGAGGCCACTGTGCCACCAGGGGGCCCACAGCAGGCAGGGCACAAAGTCTTTGGGGCATCTGCCATGGTGCCTGGCTCATCTTCACATTTAGCCAAGTGTAAGTTTCTCAGCTCCCAGCAGCGATTCCCCTCCGTCTGGGATCCAACATTAACAGAAACCATCCCACAAAAGTGGAGCACAGTTGCCGCCCCGTGTTTAGCCCGCCATGTTGCGTTTCAAAGGTGCCGCAGCCTTCGTTCACTTACACAAGCATCTAGGTCCCATCCAGGGACAGACCCATCTCTGCATGGCATTGCTACTCAGAAGAAGCAGGCTCCAGCTAGTGTCCGCAGGACAGAGGCTTTGCGGCCGTGGCTGCTAGAGCTGCTCTAGAAACGAGTCGCGAAGCCTAAACCTGGCACTGCATGAACTCCTGAGTGCGAGATCCCGAGGCTGTGTGACACCTGCTCCCCGAAATCCACACTAGCAATTCCCAGGGCAGACATTGCGGGGTCCTGATCTCTTGAGCTCCGCACTAGCTTCACAGATTCCCACGCCCACCTGTCCCCTGTCCCCTGTGGCTCTCCTCCCCCATACCTGGACATGCCTCTGTTTCAGCAGCGTTTCGTAGCGGTTGGATGGCGGATACGGAATGATGACTCCGTAATTCTTACATTCTGCTCGGAAACGTTTATCCAACAGGACACTGAAAAAGATCAAAGTGAAGTGGGGCAGTAAACATGACAGCGAGTGGCTCACAATGCCCAGCCATGGCGACTCCAGACCCCAGTGTCTACCCAGAGGGTCTCTTGCAAGCCACAGACACAACCACTGTCAGCTCTTCTCACCCACGGAAGCTCAATATGCGAGGGAACGTTTCTAAGTTGAAGATGAGAAAAAGAGTTGAACTGTTGCCCTAAAATGATTTCTGACAACACTGCACATGTATGTGGCGTGAACTCTTTACCAGGTGTGTGTGTGCACGTGTACACACACGCATGCACACACGGTCACTCCCCAACAACCCCGAGGCAGGTGTTCTATCATCTTCCACGCTGAGACACTGTTGCAGAGTACCCCATGCTCTGGAAAGGCCCAGGAGGGTCCTCTGGGGCTGGGATTTCAGGGAAAGCCTCATGTTCTGCGGACAGAGACCTGAACGATGAAAGTGGGACAGTCTAGTGCAGGGATGGCGAAACTTGTAGAGACCTTCACCAACCTGGGAGCCAAGGCCCACTGATTTATCTCAAAGTGCCAACGCTGCAGTACTGAGGTTTTAGATTAGGAAAACCCCTCAGCCATTAGCATCTTTTATCTTAAAAGAAAAACACAATAACACATGTGCCATAGTTGGCCACCATGGTCTGGCAGGAGGAGGGCACAGACACCGTATACTTGTTCTGTCTGAGAAGAGAGAGCTGGCCGGCGCGGAAAAAGCACAGGGCACACTGGAAAGAACCATGTAGGAATGAGTTTGTCTCTTTGGTCCAGGGGCAGGCTACACAGCACCTCAAGTGCCAGCAGAGGCGAAATGTATTCTGGCTGTGCTTGGAAGCCACTTAAAGGTTTTAAGCAGGCAGGAGACATAAAGTATATTGGCATTATCCAGTGCAGTAGCCACCGGCCCCAGCCTCTGTGTGGTGGGTACTGAGGACCCATCCCAGGGGCACTGAGCACTGGCTCTTTTCATTTTCAGACAGTGCCTTGCTACGGTGCCCTGGCTAGGTCAAGTGTGTGCTCCTCCTGACTCAGCTTGTCTAGTAGCTCAGACTAGAGATGCATGTGCGCCTCAGGGTCAAGGGTGGCTCCTGAACACCTGGAGAGATGCGGCTCCAAACTGAGATGTGTTGTGAAACACATGCTAGCATCTGAAGGCTTAGAGAAGGAGAAAAGGATGGTATTCTCTAGTAATTCTTAGCACATGTTAAAATCATAGTATTTTGATATGTTGAGTTTAGTAGAGATATACCACCCAATTAACTTTACATATTTTCTGTTCCTTTTAAAATATAGCTACCAGCCTGGGGATATAGCGCAGTGGTCTAAGCATCTGCCTGGCAAGCACAAGGACCCAGGTTCAATTCCTAGTACTGCATGCTGAGCTGGCTTCTGGTCACAGAAACTGGGCATGCCTATAATCCCAGCACCGGGGAGGCTGAGACAGGCAGGTCACTACGAGTCTGAGCTGCATAGTGAGACCCTGTACCAAATAAATAAATAAATAAATAAATAAATAAATAAATAAATAAATAAATGGATAAATAAAACATAGCTATTAGGGGCTGGGGAGATGGCTCAGTGGAATAAGCGCTTCCCTGGCAAGCGCAAGGGCCTGAGTTCAATCCCCAGTTCCGAAAAAAAAAAAAAAAAAAAAACATAGCTATTGTAAGTCCCTAACTTATGAACACCTGAGCTGCAGACTTTCACAGGTGTACTGCCTAAGTGTACTGACTGTCACAGATATAATTTGTCACTTTGTCAAATTATGAATGTATCTGACTTAGGAACATTCTCCCAGAATGGAACTCTTCTGTAAGCCGGGGGCCTTACTGTACTCAAATGTTTTAAAGGGCACGTGTGGCTTCCACCTGGGTCTTCATCTCACTTCTTAGCGAATGCCACCGACCTTATGGCCCTGACTGAGGTTACCCTTCCCCCCTGTGCTTTTCCCAGTTTCCCAAACTCCCCTAAATTCCCCCTGATCTCACAGGAAGTGCTGTTGACTCAGGGCTGTATTTCCAGGGAGGGTATTTCAGAAACTAAATATACAGAGGACTGAATGTGTAACAAGCCAAAGTTTGTTAAAGCTGGGCCAATATTCTCAATCAGAATTGTCTCGGAGAAGGTGGCAGACGAGCTCAGAGGTCTGCATCCTACGCAATCCACTTTCATTCCTGTTTTTTTTCTTTCTTTTTTTAAGACAGGGCCTCACTATGCAGTGCAGACTGGCCTGGGACTCACTATGTAGCCCAGGCTGGCCTCAAACTTGCAGTGATAGTTCTGCCTCAGCCTCATGGGTGCTGGGATTACAGACGTGTGCCACCACGCCCAGCTCACTTGCCCTCACTGAGAGACCACGGCATGACAGGCAGTGACAATGTGCTTCCTTAAAGTCCTAAGTACTGCTCACTATACGGCTGACTGCAGCAGTCATTTGCATTAGCTATATTCTGTGCTGACAGTAACCTGTACCCGCAGTGCAAGGATTTCTATTCAAAAAATGTCAGAGCAACTTCAACTGTCAAAAGCAAAATGAACCCAATTCTTTCCATGAAAGAAAATCCAAGAAAGTAAGGGACTATTCTAGAAATTACTGGCTAGTCTACTTGGATTTCCAGTAAGAATATTACTTGTAAGATTATCTGAGGTTTTGTAGACAGATATTCCCGGGGGCTAAAGCCAGGGGCTCACAGTGCCTTTTAAATCCACACATCCTGGCAATGCTGATGAGTCTCAGGCCCTACACTGGCCTCCTACCGGGTTCCGCACAGCCATCCTCACGGACCTCCCTTCCATCCCCACCACTCCATAATCTTAAAGAGTGAATTTTAAAGTGGAAAATCAGATCGAGGCACTGCTCTGCTTCTGACCCCATTCTGCAAAGCTGCACGCCTGAAATGAAGGTCTGTCTGCACAGCCCAGGATCGGCCCTGCCACTCTCCGGCTTTGTCACACAGTGCCCCCTAGTGGCCACGGGTGGAGTGGCAGTCTTGTGTCCCAGGAACCCTCCCAACACTCTTAGCTTAGAAGTTTCACACAGGTCGGCACAAGAAGCCCCTTCTGCTTGCAATTTCCTGCTTCTTTCTGTATCTCGTCTAACTCCTAAGATGTTGCTTCCTTCAGACAACCTTTTGCTTCCTCCCTCCAAACCCTAGCCCAGATGTGACTGCTCTGGGGGCCTTGAGTCCCATGAGCTTTGCCTTCACAGACGGCACATCACCTCCCTCATCACTGTGTCCATGGGCATTCATCCATTTCCATCAGTGTCTGTCTTCCCGTGGGCCTGCAGGCCCCACAAGCTCAGTGCCATACCTGCCTGTAGCGCCCCCGCCAGGCCGTGCCACTGTGCGATTTTCTTTAGGTGTTATGGAAGGGAGCACAGAGGACTACGTCCACCCAGAACCAGTGGTCAGGGAGCTCTCCTACCTGCCGGCCATGGCTTTGTAGTAAGCAAAGATCTGGTCCGCCAGCTTGTAGACAAACTGATCGAAACACAGGTTCACCTGTGGGGAGGAAAAGGCAATGTCAGGACCGTCCGCCGGGTTTGACTGCAGAAACGTGTGTGACTGAGGGCAGTGGGCAAGACGGGGAGAGGAGCAAGGTACAGCAAAGGAACAGCGGTGAAGGCAAAACAGAAAGGCGAGCAGGCTGCGGCTCAGGCAGTCTGGCCACTTGCTCCCGAGGTCCTGTCAGTCAGCAGATGTCGCAGAGTCCTGGGCGTCACGCAGCAGCGAGCACAGTGGCAGATGACAGCCACATTCCCTGTGGTGAGGCCTAGCAGGCCACTGACGCAGGAGCAGCTGCACTGCCCGCCTCATCTGTCTCTTGGCTAATCTTGCCTTGCCTTGCGCCTTGCCCTGCCCTGCCCTGCCCTGCCCTGCCCTGCCCTGCCTTGCCTTGCCTTTCACTTGGAAAATTCAGTCACAGAGCCTTATGAGAAATGTATATGCTCCTTTCTTCAAACTTCTTGCTCTTAATGCATTCCAGCGTCTCACCACAAGTGAGGTGCAAGACAAGTTCACTGCAGACACGGAGAGGCAAAACCACATCTTTCAACTGCAGCCGGGGCAGCACTCTAGAAGGACACGGCTCGGGCGGCAGCAGCACTACGCAAGGCTAACTGCAAGGGAGGCATCTATTTAGTGATTCACTTTTGATTCCTATTCAATTCTCAGCTCTATGAGGTCGACTCTTTATGAGCTTTTGTTATCTTTCACTGGCTACTCCTCCTATTATGCAGAGAACAGAGCACAGGGCTATGCACAGCGCTGTCTGCACACCCACGTAACTGAGGCCTCAGCCTGGACTTTGAGCTCCAAGGTCCTGGGCAGATTCCACCCCAGGCCAAGAACTACAAGGCCAAAGTGAATGTTCACCCCACCCAAGAGGCTCCCCTGCTGGAAACAGCTCTGAGAGCTTCGCCATACTCCTCGGGCGCCTTCTAGGCCACATGGCCTCTTCTCTGGGTTTGCGTGAGGTTAGACTGTGCTGAAGGGTGTGAGCCCTAGGTCTTAGGCTTAGCTAAGGGTCAGAGTTTATGAACCAGGTGGTGACAAGGCTTGGGTGTGTATGCGCGCACACAGAGCCTTTCCTGGTATGGAACAGTTCGCAGATCAGCGGAGAAAGGAAGCCAGCCTCAAGCTGCGTGTGCATGCGTGCGTCAGTTTGTACAAGACTGCTTCTGGTAACCATGGTGACTAGGAAGATCACTCTTCTGCTAAGTCAGTCCCTGACCCCCGCTTAATACTACTGCTATAGGTGTGCAAAGTTCAGCCTCTCAGGAAAGGACTGCAGGAGCAACAGCAGGGTGACACTTGCCTCAGCTTCGATCTCGTCATAGAGAAACTGCTTCTTAAACTTGGTGAGAGCGTAGTAGGCGCTGTCGTTGTACAGGTCCAAGGGGTACAGGACGTACCTGAGGAGGAGAAACCAGGGCTAGCAGCGCACTGCTGCTCCCACTTAGGGCAGATTCACAGAGCCCGGGAACACAAGGGCTTGGGGGAGAGGATGGACAGCGACAGGAGGAGGACGCCTCTGCTCTCCCTGACGTTCCTCACTCCACATTCACCCAGGGAAAATGTAAGACCAAACGTCAGTAAAATCAAGGCCTGAAAGCATCGGCTTGGGACTGAAAGAAGTCAGGTGGCAGCTAAGGACATTAGGTTCCTGATTCCCAGAGATGGCTACAAGCCTGGCTGCGATGAGCCTGACAGACTCAAGGGAAGACAGCTGGGCTGGGAGACTTCTGAGGCCAATGACTGTGTGGGACCTGGCCTTTGGCCTGAGTGTGCCCCTGGGTGGGCCTCACAGCCTCACTGCTAGGCCACTCACGCTTTCTTCTGGAAAGAATGGAGCTCACTGAAAAACCGTGCCTTGCACCCCCAAGCACCTCCTTATGCCCCATCCAGCCTCTTACTCCATCATGGAAGGCTCTTTGGTTTCCAGGATGTGGTCGGTTAGAATCCAGGGCATGGACATTTCAATGGGGAACTGGATTCGCCGGCCCATGGTCAGCTCCAGGAAGAACTCTCGGAACCAGAGCTGGGAAAGGTCGCAACACTGCTGCAGGGCTTCTGCAAACAGGAGGAAAGGGCCTGGGTTACCCCAGAAGGGGCTGCACTTGTTAGCTCCTGCTGGATTTACTAGCTGTTACTGCTTTGAGCATCACTGTGCTTGGACCATGGTGGGTGCTGCGTCAGCAGATGCTGCTGGCTTGGGGGCTGGCTTAGCACCTACTGGAAAGTGGCATTTGTCACACTTGACAGAAAGGGCAGTGCATGGGCAGAGGGACAGTGACATTTTAGAGCTCTGGCTTCCCCGTCATTTCTACCAGCCTCCTATACAGTCATCCTGGAAACTCACCCCAAGTCAAAAAGTATCCTCCTTATGCCAACAGTGTTGTACACATACTGGGACAGAGGCTCCCTGGGCCCCTCATGAGGCATGTCTGGGTCCTTTACCACCCTGAGGCCTTGAAAGCCCAACCTGGGCCACTTTCTAATGAAGAACCACACACTGTCTGTTAAAATCACTCTCATTAACATATGAAGATTCTCTTGTCCCCAGAATACCACCCCTTTCCTCCCCAGTCCTGCTCAATCCTTTTTAGTACGGCATGAGTCCCAGGCAGCAGAACAAGAGGAAAGAATGCAGAATTGGGGTGCAGCATGGGGGGCCTCCTTGGTTAGAACAAGGTTATCAGGGAGCTTGTGGCTCACTCCTGGCTCAATTAGCAGCAGAGCTGTTGAGAACTGGGGGTGTGGAGGGTCCCTCGGTTAAGGCTTGCCCCGCCCTGCCCACCGTGACAGTGTGAATCCATTCTGGCTTTGACTCCCTGTGCCTCAGAACTTAGTAACAAATTAACCACAAGAATCTACCACAAAAAGTAAGCTTTCCGACTGGCTGCACCAAACCTGGCCTACTCAGACTCCACCAAAAGGCATTTTACGTTTTCCTCCCTGCTTGATGGCCAAATACGCCCCTTTGGATTCACGATCAGTCTCTGCAATTTCTGACTGGGCAGCTCCGGCTGCCTCAGGACTGAGCGCTCTGGCGTCCCGTCCGGGCCCTGCAGCTTACCACTGATGTTGAGCAGATGCGTGAAGAAGAAAGACTGCTTGTGGAAGTCCTCAATGGCCAGGACGATGGGGCCGTCCAGGCTGCTTCTCAGGGTCTTCTTGGAGCCACTTTTGTCTGCGATGAGTGACTCGAGCATGGTGCGAACCATGTAGAGCTTAAAAGAGAAAGTGCGATGAGGTTAGGGGCCGGCCCTCCACCCCGAGGGGAAGCTGCTTTATGCTGTATTACTTTTCTGCCCTTAAAAGCACGTCTTAAGGAAGCGCCCATTTACGTGGAGAAGTAAATTTGGAGCTGTGAACATTTTTTTCTTTCACAGTTCTGGGGATCAAACTCAGGGCCTCACGCGTGCTAGGCAAGCATTTTACCACTGAACCACATGCCCAGCTCTTGGATACAGGCCATCCTGGGAAGGAGAGGCCCCAAGACACCCCTGTATAGTTCAAGAAAGCTCCAGAAGAGGTTCCTGCCTGCCCTGCTCAGCCAGGGGCCGGGGCATCAGAGGAGAACCTCATTCCATGCCACGCGAAAGTCACTGCTGCTTTTCCAGACAGCCACGGTGGCCCCACGGGTGGAGCACTGGACTGGGACACAAAAGACCCAGGCTCAAGGCCAGGTACTGCCACTGACTTGCTGTGTGACCTCAGGTGCCAAAGTCCCCACTCTGGGCGTCAGTTGTCTTACCTAACAAGGGGGGCATGGACTAGCTGCTCTCTTATCCAGGCCCCTTCAGGTCTCATTCCCTGGGGAGCTGCGCAGCGGGTAAGATCAGAATGCAGTAACTCCCCCCAACCACCTTAGGTCTCTGATCCTCAGCGTTTTGAATCCATGGACAATGGTGCCCTCTGGTGGCCTGGGCTGCATGCACAGCCTGGCCAAGAAGCTGGGTGGACTGTGGGTTACACAGGAGGCTGCTGGACAGTGACTCCTGTTACCCAGTGCCCTGCATGCAAAGGGCGCCAGAGCAGCGGGGTGGTTCTGCCTGCTAATCTAGATCTTTTCACGTCATCTGTCTGCATGTTCAGGCTGCAGGGAGCCTGGAGGAGTCGGGCTAATCCGTGCCCAGGGCCTCCTGGAGAAAGGTACCCAGACCAACCCAGCCAGGCGGAGTGATACCAGGGATCGGCAGCCTCTTCGGCCCTGTGTGCCACCAGTGGGGTGAAACAAAGCCCTCGGGGACCACTGGCAGGCCTAAGACATAGGTAGGAGAGAAGGAAGAGGGGATGGGAGGGCAGGAGAGACAGGGAGGAGGGAGAGAGAGAAAGAGAGAGAGAGAGAAAAGCGAGAGGTATTGTATACGGTGGGAAAGCCATCGCGACTGCTGGGCCACCTCCAAGGCGTCCAACCTCCCAACATCCACACTTCTCTCGCTGCCTCTGGACCTGGCCTGGCGTCTCCCACTCCTGCCCGGCACTGAGCAGCCTGCAGCCACCAGATCCTGCAACTGCCATCCTGAGCGGGGCTTCCCTTCATGGGGAGGGCAAGCATGATAGGCTTAGCCCACCACCTGGGACCCTGGTGGCCACTGCATCTCACACACTTTCTAATGCCAGCCTCTGGGGTCCTAAAGAGTCCCCCGTGTCTCATCCGCCATGGATGTTGACTCAGTCTAGTTCTACCTACAGGAAAGCGCCGATTCCATCCAGAGGAGAGCGGCTCTCTCCCCACCTACTGGAACAGAGCACTGAGGCAGCGGGCAGGCTCTCGGAGGCACCCCTGTCCCATCGGCTCTGAAGGCCGTGACAGAGCCCTGGGGCGGGAGTCAGGAGACCTGGGTGCTTGTCCCACCTCTGCCTGGGACTTGTCTGGGACTTGGACAAGTCACTTCTGCTTTCTGGACCTCAGTTTCCCCACCTGGGAGTTGGGGGAGGGGACTGGGGCTAGTTTATCTCTCAGGACTCTTCCAGTCCTAGATGCCTAGGATTAAGGATGTCTATGTTACCTACATGCCTAGTGGCTCTGGGCTTCAGTTTGTGACCCTCTATTGTCACTATTACCCAGTCCAGGGTCCTCTCTTTCTATGGATCTGCACCATACATGGTGCTTCTGGTTGCCCCATCTCTACTCCCATCTCAGCACCCGGAGGCCCTGCTCAGCCCCACCAGGGCTGTGACCCTCCATGCTGCACAGAATGGTGTGCAGAAATGTCCTTGAGACATCTTGCCACGAGCAGGGGACGTGCAGGACATGAAGTCAAGGAAAGCTATGATGACCCCACAAAGATCTCACTTTGCCCAGCCCCCACCCAGCCAGACAAGGACACACACACAGGGAGGGGTCCACAGGGGTCAGACAAGCAAGCTCAGGGGCCTCAGAGCGGAGGGGCTCACGGGTCTGTGGCGTGCAGTGTCCAGGCTGGGGCTTCCAAGGCCGGGAGACCCTTCAACCTGCAATAAGATCATCTGCTTTTTTTTTTTTAGTACAGCAAAAAAGCAGACTGGGAACTATCCTTACGTATGTGGCAAGAATTTAATTCCACCGCTCAGTTTATTTCCTTTTCCTTTTTCCCTTGTAATTTTCTGACTGTTTTCCATAAGTGACTGGTTCCTTTTTAATGTCCAGAAATTCCTGTTGGCAGCTCTCGAGTCTTTCTGACCGCGACTTTCCCTGTGGGGACAAGGGTGCCCTACGCTTGTTTTGGGAGATGCTGGAGTAAGAAAAGCCATGTTTCACTAGTAACACAAATTCATTTCCAAGTTTTTATTTTTCAGAGAAGCCAGGGTCAGAGAGCCATCCAAGGTCACACAGAACGTCGGAGGCAGAACTTGCGGATTTCCGCGCTAGGGTGCCGCTGCAGAGGGCGGTAGCTTATTAAAGACGGACGGACGGGGTAGATGCATATAGGTTCCACCTAAACTCCTCTTGCACTTCAGAATCTGACTTCTCGGGGCTAGGAGAGACTGCGCTAAGTCGCTGTAATACTCCCCCTACTGGTCAGATTAGACAACTGAGGCACAGAGAGATCGTGTAACATGCCCAAGGCCACACAGGTGTCTAGGACGAGAATCCAGGTCTCCTGAATCTTAGGCCAGTGGTCTTTCTTCCTATAACACGACAAAGTGTCAGAAGCCCAGAGCAGCTGTTCCACCCTGTGCCCCCCGGCCAGCGAGCCCCCGTCCTGCTTCCCTATGGTCCAGCCACAGTGACTGTGAGTGGCCCAGCTGGCCTGCGAGCCACAGCAGCTAGCCTGCACCTGGAGCTGCTTACCTGGGTGCTGGAGGGCCCCACGGCACGCCGGGGCACCTTGATGTCAAAGCCACCTTTGGGGTCCTTCTCTCCTCTCAAGCATGGGTCATTGGGGGGCTCCCGGCCCCCCTCCCAGTCACAGATGGTCTTCCGAATGGCCTGCAGGACACTGCAGGGGGAAGGACAGAGACTCAGGATGGTTCTTGGCCCTCAAAGAAGGCTCTGCAAGTGTCCCAGGGCCCATGGTGTCCCAGATCCCCTGCCTCAGAATTCCTGGGATTCCTGTTACATACGCTCATTTCTGGTCCCCTCCCAGCCACACTGATTTAACAGTCAAAGTACAGTCAGGAATCTGCATTTGCTTAATTATCCTGCATAATTCTGGTTCCCACTTCATGGTTTAAAGTTCAGGTCCAGGATGTACAAAGGGATATGAGTTAAGGGAGGCAGGAGGTGATTTTCCCCTTTGCAGTATAGGGGAGTTTCATCAATCCAATTAAATATAGGCTTAAAGTTTTAATAGCTTATACTTGCTGCCACCTTACTCCAGGCTGCTGAACACACAGATCTACACGTGGGTTATCTCATTCCTTCCCCATGCCCGTGGGGACTGTGGCTAAGAAGCAGGTATCACTATCTCCATTTCACAAATGAAGAAGATAGAGTTTGGAAAAGAAATCTGACCACATTCCCAAGGCTATTTGTTTTTTCTTCTGTATTTTAGGGAAGGGTCTATAGGGTGTTCAGGGTTTCATTACTAGATAAGACTTGTAGTGATTCTCCTGTTTACAGCCTCCCAAGAGCTGGGATTAGAGGTGCGCGTCACCACACTCAGTCTCAATCGCCATCTCAGCACACCCCAGGGGCAAGACTGGCCCAGCAGGCCTGGGGATCAAACCCCCAGCCCCTGTGCCTGCTTGTAGGTGCTTTAATCTACTGAGCTATTTGGCCCCCCAAAGTTATTAACAATGCGGTGAATCTGACTTTAACCTCAGAGACCGAGACTTCACTCATCTCAGACATTCAGTCTCTCAAGAAGTCCTGTTAGAGTTTGCTGGGAAGATTTCATTACATCTAGAGGGTAAGCAGGGAGCGGACTGAGTCAAGCACATCCTCTCTAGCCCGGGCCCGGAACCCTTTATTCCCGATCTTTCCCTGTCAATTCCCACCTGATGAGGACGTTCTTCTTCTTGCGTACTGCCTGTCTCAGGGGCTCCCGCAGGGTCACCTGGGCAAAGTCCTGCAGGGCTGCGTAGATGGTGTTCCGGATGGCCTGGTTGAAGACACTCTCCATCCGGCCCATGAGCACCTGCAGGCCCTTTATCATGGCGATCACCTGGGCAGGCAGAGGTCTGGGGTCAGGCTCGCCGTGCCTCCATACATCGGCCTGTGTAGCACCCTTTAGCACCCCACAGGAGGGGGAGATGCGCAGGAGCACAGGCCAAGGCCAGCAGGCCTGTGACAGTATGAACTGCACAGGGCGGGAGCGGCACACTCACCTGTCCTCAACAAGGGCGCCTGCATGGTTTCATAGTCATAGGAAAACGAACTTAGGCCCTGCTCTACACTATGTAAAAGATTTTCTCAAAATGGACCAAAGACTAAACGTAAGAAGTGAAACTAGAAAACTCTTAGGAGGAAACCTGTGTACATTCCTCTGACCTTGGGTTTGACAGTTTTCAAACTGAAAGAAGAAAAGCAAAATGGGCTTTTGGACAAGAAAATTTAAAACTTCTATTCTTTCAGAGATACTGTACGGACAGCAGAAAGACAAATTATGGATGGGAAAAAACCTTCAGTGACATAGGTACCTGAAATGGGGCCTCTACCTGGAATATATAAAAACTGTTACAACTTAGCTCAATAATAAGGCAAAACCAATTAGCCACTGCATGAGGGCACACTCCTGTAATCTCAGCAGTCACTGGGCAAGACACAGAACGATTAAAAATTTAACTGTAGACTGGGCAATTTAGCAATTTAGATTCTATATTTACAAAGAAGCCACTTCCGGCAAGACGGTAGAGAGGTGAACAGCAGAGAAACGGGTGCACAGATGCTGGGGTACCCCAATGTGAGGAACAGGAGGAGGACGGAATTGGATCAGCAAGAATCTGCTGCGTGATTCATGATAAGACCTCTGAGGACCAAGTTCAGGAAAAACAAAGAAGAGGATGTTCACCTGGCTGCAAGCTGTTGGGACAGAACAATCCTAATTGTTTTCCTTAAATTGTCTTAAGACAGCAGAGAAGGAAATCTTACGTAAAGTTTTAGGGTATCTGTTATATATGACTGATCAGGATTGCATGATTTAGAGGGCTTCTTGCACACTGCCCTTTGTCAGTGATTGATACTTTCTAAGCTTCTCAATAAATATGCTGTACACACTCAGTTCAGGGCTCAGAGAAACAAGGCATGTGAGACCCCTGTGGCCAATTCACCTAGTTCTTCTTGTGGCTCTCATCATTCTACAAGAAGAATCGGAAGCAAGAATTGAAGTCCAAGTGGAGAACAAAGAGAGAGACCTTGTTGCCCATGGAAATGGCAGTGGGGAGTATCAAAGAACCAGGGGATGGGGCAAAGAGGCAGCAACTTCTCATACCAATAAATTGAAGAGTTAAGATCTTACAACACACTCAAAATACCAAAGCCAGAAATACCTAGAGGACATCTCTGAGAAGTAGTCATTCCCTAAGGCTTCTCTATATTAGCAATAAAGTTATCTGCCATAAACAGTCTACAAGAATTAAATTGGGAATTAAAATTTAAAAATAAAAGAATAAGAAGACACAGAAGTAAGATATGATACAAGACTTCCCACCAAATTCTGGGGGCGATTTGGTCAAACAATTTGAAAACTATCCATGCAGATTCTCTGAAGTGGTAAGAGCAAAAGTAACAAAACATATGAATGAGGCTACAGAAAAGAAATCAAGTCAGAAATAATCTCTCAGACAACACAGAGATGGTGACCATAATGAAAGACATGGTTAGAGACTCTAGAGCAGATACAGATTTTAAAAAGGAGAGGAACTTGCAAAAATGGAAGAAATCATAAAACACCCAATACAGGAAAGGGAATCCATGAAACATATTCAAACAGATATTCAGGAGACTAAAAATCCAACTAAAAGTATATGCAGTAGAATAAACCAATGTGAGGACAGAATATCAGAAATGGAAGTCAAGACTGTAGTGAGCAATCACAAAAAGAAAGATTTCTTAAAAATAGCATAGGACTATGAAAATCCAATCCAACAGCTGCTAGATGATGCAGAGAAGAATAACATATTATTGATCAGGGTCAATGAGAAAAACCAAGAGACAGGGCAAACAAATTTAAAAACCTATTCACTAAAGTAATGGTAGAACCCCATTAGTCATGATCAAAAAAAAATCTAGACCAAGGTATATAATAATCAAGTTTCCAGAAATTCACTTAATGGACAGAATATTAACAAGAGAAAAGAAACAAATCACCAATCAAAGTCCATCAGAATCACAACAGACTTTTCATCACAAACTCAAATCAAAAAAAGTTTAGAGTGCAATATTTCAAGTCCTAAAAGAAAACAACCTTCAATTAAGATTGACACACCCTGCAAAACTATCTTTCAAACCTGATGGAGAAATAAGATACTTCCACCACAAAGAACACCAGAAGAAATACATAACCACCGAAAAAGCATTTCAATATGTTCTGAAGGACATTCTACAGAGAGCAAGGAATACAACTCCAGGAATCCCAACAGAACGTATCCACCAGGCAGGGCAAGCAGGTAAGTGGAAAGGGGAAAAAGGGAACCAACAACAGGAAAATAACACGACAGGGATAAATCAATACATCTTATAACCATCAGTGAAAATGGTCTCAATTCACCAGTCAAAAGAAACAGATTGGCGAATGGATCAAGATGCAAGATCCAGCAATATACTGCATGCTAGAAACACATTTAATTTAAAAATTCATAAGGTGAAAAATCAAAGGGTAGAAACCAATAATCTGTGTGACAGAAACCCAGAAAAAAAGCAAGGGTAGCTATTCTATTTGCAGACCAAATGAGCTTCAAGCCAAGACTGATCAAATGACACAAAGAAGTTCACTACATATTTGATAAAGAAAAACTCCAAGAGGAAGTAATAACAATCACGAATATACATGCACCAAATGCCAAATTACCTTACTAACAGGTGCACAAAAAAATCAAGTACCAATAAAACTGTATCAATAGTTCACTGTCACAGATGGACTAGATGAAAAACCAACAAAGAAATACCAGAAGTGAACCAAAATTTTGAAGACATAGACTTAGTAGATGTGTATAGTGTTTCATCCCCATGACATCAGAATACACCTTCTTCTCAGCAGCACAGGGGATGTTCTCACCAACAGATCACATACTATCTCATAGAATGTGCTTAACTAATGCAAAGGAATTGAAATTATCCCATGAATATTATCAGATCATAGCGCAATGAACGTGGAAGTCAATGGCAAAAGAAATCACAAAAAAGTCATAAACATGGAAATTAAATAACACATTTCTAAAGAATCAGTGGGTCACAGATAAATTAAAGAAGAAATTAAGACAGTCTCTACAATTAAATGATAATATTAATACAACATACTGAACTTATGTGATTCAGTGAAAGCAGCCCTGAGGGAAGTTTATAGCAGTAAACTTTCTTATATCAAAGAAACAGAGTGAAATCAAATAAATATGTTAATGTTTACATGTCAAATTTCTAGAAAAAGAAGATAAAGTCAAGCTCAAAGCTCATATGGGGGTGGGGGAGGGATTATAAAAATTGGAAAAAAATAATGCAACAGTGACTGAAAAAAAACAATACAAAGAATCAGTGAATCAAAGAGTTGGTTTTTGAAAGATTAAATAAAATTGACAAAACCTGAGCCTTAGCCAAGCTTATCATAAAAAGGAAAGGACAAGTCTCATGCAGTTAGGGAAGCAGAGGGTACAATCACAACAGACACTGCAGAAATTCAGAAGATTATCAATAACTACTTCAAGAACCTATATTCTAATAAGATGAACACATAGAAGAAATGGACAGATTCCTAGATACATATGAATTACCAGTGCCAAATGAAGAACACAAAAATTCTAAATAAACCATTATCAGTGAATAAAATTAAAGGTGTAACTAAAAGCCTACCACAAAGAAAAGCTCAGACCCTGATGGATCACTGTGGAATTCCACAAGAGATTTAGAGAAGACCTAATGCCACTACGTCTCAAATTCTAAGGAAATCAAATGGGAAGCGAGATCCTGGAATTCATCCCTGGACACAAACATTGTCATGACAGCCAGACAAGAGAAGGATCCAACCAAAAGCAGAACTACAGGCCAATCTCCCAAAGGAATATAGATACAAAAATTCTCAGTAAGATACTGGCAAACAGAATGCAGCAAACCACCAAGATTATAAACCATAACTAAGAAGAATTCATCCCAGATGTAGAGATGGTTCAACATGCACTAATCAATAAATATAATATATTAAGAGATCCAAGGAGAGAAACCATGCCAATTCAATACAGAAAAAACATTTGGCAAAGTCTGACACCCAGAAGGGTGCAAGGTTAGCCAACATTTTGGCCCTAGCCTTTCAAGGTCAGTGAAGACTCAGGACATAGGAGAACCTGTACTGTAACAACATGTAACTCAGTTGTGCTCCAAATTTTCTGATAAAGAAGATTATGGAACCACAGAGGAATGTGTTCGATGATCTAAAGTGAACCTGGGGAGAGACACATGGAGAGAAAAAACATTTTCTCAAGCTTTCACAGAGAGCAAATTGGTCAAGCAAGGGCCATGACTCATCCTCATGTCAGACACTGACAAAAGGATGTACAAAA